GTCTGCAGTAGTTCCCCACATAACAGCATCCAGCAAACCCGCTATCAAGTGAGACATCCATTGTCCCTCTACCCGAGATCCCTGAGGGTTGAGGCGGACTCAGCCTGTTGAAAAGCCCAATCAGTCAGCGATGCGTATCATGGTTCTTATGGTCTGGAATGTGTCAGTGGCTGTAGCCTTCGTACTGTGGAGCGAAGGTCAAAGAATGTTATCAACCTATTAAACACATGTTAGAATAGTCCGACGTACAGCAACTAATTGTCCTTGAGCTACTAGGGGATAGCAAGGGGGGCTCTACGTACCTACCTCACCTCGCCTGACTGAAGCTGTGGCAACTATAGCACCTGTAAGGAGTCGGCCATGCAAAGTTACCTCGCTGACATAGTGTTCGTTTCCTCCATGTTTCTGCAGCAAAACAACTCAAGGCAAAGGGAAGAGACTAGGTCGGTCATGTGTATAACCACTGACACATTCCCTGATATGATTCATCACTGACTTGTTTGGTTGTTCAACATGCCGGATCTGTCTGAACCCTCAGGGATCTCGCAAAGAGAAACAATGAATGCCTCACTTGATAGCGGTTCTGCTGGACTTTTTACTCCGTCTAGCCATCTTCATTCTATAATCACCAAAGATACATCAGAATGATGCTAGTTGCCATGGCAGTAGTTGTGGTGGTCAGAGACTACATGGACACAGATGGTGAAGGATCTGGTAATACCTGGCTCCAGTGAATAAAATATCTCCGCATAATACATAGCGAAGTAATTGAGATTTTTTGAGCTGCGGCGCATGTCAGACACATCCATGCTACAGAGTCCTCCCTGGCATGGAACTGCCTTCCCTCCAAGTCAGGGTACCCGGGCAAAATCTCGTGATCAATTGGCACCTGACTTTTCTTCGCTTGTGACACTGGCAGCTACCCCGAGTTGATACAGTTCTATGTAGAATTGCACAAAACCATGCATTCTCAAATCCCCCAACTAATAACTGGAGGAGATACTATGTAGGTAATACGCTCTTAAATCATCGCCATCTCTACAAATTCAGACAGAAACAAGCAGGAATCATCTTAATGCCACCTTCGTCCCATTCCTTGAACAAACGGTCAGTGCATACTCCTCCACCCACGGCCCTGGATCCCTGCTTTCAAGCACAGAGAACTTCTGGGCTAGCCGAACCGTGACATACCCTGCCTCCGTCAGTGCATACTGTTGGCCAACGCAAATTCGTGGGCCCCCGTTGAATGGCAAGTACTCCCATCCCGGACGGATCTCAGCCCAACGTTCAGGCCGGAACTCATTTGCATCCGGGCCGAAAAAATCTTCACGACGGTGAAGAGCATAGACATGATAGGCAACAATAGAGCCCTTTGGCACGAAAACAGACGACTTGCCGTCTGGCCCACCACCGCGAGGAAGTACTGTATCCGTGTTCGCAAAGCGCAGATTTGCTGGGACAACAGGGTGGAGGCGAAGAGCTACAGTGCCAAGTAAGCCATGACTCCTGAGACTTTTTGCGTGTCGGGATCACTTACATTCATTCAGGCAGAATTTCACATATGTCAGATTACGTAGTTGCTCGTACGACGGCGGGCGGCCTTCTAGGAAAGCAACTTCCTCGCGCAATTTGCTCCAGATGCGAGGGTTCTTTGCTAGCATAAAGAACAGGTTGCTCAACAAGGATGCCGTGGTATCTCGCCCGGCCAGGAGAATATTCATTAGTTCGTCGCGAATCCGCCTTCGGTCTCCCGTCTGCTGGGCTAGACTACGCAGGAAAAGGTAATTCTTCTTTCCCTTTGCATCGTGACTATCCTCTTCGATAAATTCTTTCTGGTTGCTGGACTGCTCTCGCACTTTCAGTGCACTGTCGACGAATTGCTCCACCAATTTATGGCAGATACGATTGGACTCTTCTGCTTTACGGTCGCGCAGGAGATATTTGAGCTTACCAAGGCGTAGGTTCATTGCGATGGCCTTTTGTGCATAATTGAAAGCTCCGGCAAAGTCCTGTTCTGTACTGTCACGGGTCCCAGCCAGTCGCTTCTTGAGGCTGTGCACGCTGTGCCCGAAGAGGAATTCCGTTGCAGAGTCGATGGTGAGCTCAAAGAATAACTCCTGTAGATCGACCGTTCTGCCATCGGTTGGGATCAGTGTGGTCATTTCGTTGACGAGTTCCTCAAAAATATCCAAGTGCGCGACTTGCTCTTTCGCGAAATTTGGACGGACCATGGCACGCGACTGCGCCCAGTGCTCGCCGTCGCTGGTGAAGATGCCATGGCCCAAAAGCGGACCCATTGCATCGATACGGCCTGCCAAGCCATAATCCTTAAATCGGAGGGACAAGATTGTCTTTATGTTCTCCGGCTCGCAAGTTATAACGTAATGGGTCAATCGTCGTTGTGTATATGTGTTGCCATATAGCTTGAATCGCTCGCTGAACCGCTCGAGAAGCTTGTGTTTCCTGACATATCTGATCTGCTCAAAAAGAATATCGAGGCCGAAGATAGGATCCTTCTGAGGATAAGATGGTGGTGGTTGACAATTGTTCGCTTTCATTATACGACGATGCGTCCATTCCCGTTGCAGGTAGGTTATGGTATACCAAAGAAAGAGAGTGACGGTCGCAATCGTAAAAACAGGATGATCAACTTTGTTGAAATCCATGGTGAGCTGCAATCCTGTCTGGAGATGAACAGTAGAAGAAAACTCTGGGTTGACGGGCGACCAGAAGTCCTTTTAAGCAGCGGCTGAGTGATATATCAGATGATGGCAAGCTGCAGCTCCCACGGCTACCACGGAGGGTGTCCGCCGATTGTGAACCATACCTTGTAGCGCTAGGATGCCTGAATCATTCGGCGAACAGGGTCTCCTCATGTGAAGTACAGCCTCGGCAGCAGGATTAGACTGACATGCTGATGGCCCTGCGAGGAGGGGGCATTCGCTGGCCCTTCAGCCAGCCATTCATGCTCTGTTTAGCGGGGGTCTTACTAGCTTTCAGCTAGATGAAGATACTTGCAGAAAAAAGCAATTCGACTTGAGTCATTCTAGTTGCGCAGCTCATCTCTCACGTGTCAACTTTCGATTATCATATTTCACCGCAGCTATACAGTTGGACGATAACAGTATGACGGTTCCACGGCAAAGCCCCGAATGACATCATTCATGGCGGTGATGATTTTTGCTTCTTCCATTTATTGCTTTCTAATTCCTTTTCGTTGTCTTTTCTGCCACCTCAATGGCCATGATGACCTGTTCCCGGGATGCAGAATCTCGGAGCTTCCCTAACAATACCAGCCGTACGCTCACCGAGATGTACGTACATAATCCAGCATAAGGCCCGCCCTCTTCAGCCAAGTAGATAGGCCCTCAAGCGGTTTAGTCGGGTGTAACCACTCCAAACTTAATCTGTAACTGCTGAAAGAGGTAGGCCTCGCTAATTGGAGATCACGCTTGCCTGGAGACTGATGTGATAAGCACTAGAAACCCCGTGGACGCGACAGTGCCACCACGAATGGGTGTTGCGTATTCCGTGGTCTATACGCATTCACGCAAGTACCGATAAATTATGGAGCTTGCTTCTGGGAGGCAAAAATAGTTCAAGTGACGCCTTTTTAGCCCGGTGCTACCCCACACTGCAGCAACGCAGTCTCAACAACCGATCTCACTCCCAGCCACCAAGGCGTGAGATCACTTTCCACCTCGAGGATGACCATTGATGGAAACCTAGGAGAATTAATCGACATCTCATGAAGAATGAGCGAGCAAGGATATACGCAGACATACTGTCATAGTTGAACAAAAAAAAAACAATAATAAACCCGATCACTGAGCATCAAGCAGCTGGTCATCACGGGCCTCCAAGCAAGCATCGGTCATCTTATCGATTGCATCCGCCCGCTCCGTGTCTGCGACCCAACCTCTGTCCACCAATCTGGCCAAGGCATCCCCCACCCAGTGCTGGCAGTTCCACTCCAAATCCAAATACCCATTGCGCACCGGCGTTCGTGCCACCGTCTCCCGAATATCATCTTCCTCAACGGAGACCGACAAATCCGTCACCGGCACCGCACGCACCAAATCCCCAAGTTCCATCGGATCAGCCCCAGGGTATTCCACATATCTATAGAGACCCTGGGTACCTAGGATATGTAGGATACTGCGTTTTTGTGATGCGAATTGCACGTATAGAGCCGTGTGTCGGTATTCGCTGTAATCGAGGGGATCGCCTCTGTAGACAAGGATAAAGAGTCTGTGAGACATGCTCACAGTGATTATCTGTTGTTGTTCTGGAAAGTTCTCAACTAGAACAAAAAAAGAAATCCCCCAAGAAACGGGGATAGCAATGGTAAATGATGATCAAGTATGGAGGGGCAATTAATGCGGTGGTCGCGTTAAAGAGATAAGGCCGACCGGGAAGAAGACACGCTAATCGTTATTGGGAAGTTGTGGATGGTGGGTTTGGTACCCGTTCTGCCTGCCGAGGTTTGTGTGTGCCTGAGCGCATTCAAGTCATACAACAAATCAGTATGCAAGATTTCATAAGTATTCAACATGAATAAGTAGTACTTCATAGAGGATAGTAGCATTGTTTTATATTTGGATAGGTATGATGTGTGGCTTGCTTTTGCATTTATGATGGCAACGGAAGCTTGCTTCGGAAGCTTCTGAAGGTTCCGGAAAAGTAAGCATATGCTTCACATGATACTAACTATCAGCCTCATATTTTGATCAATAAACTACTAATCATTGAACAGTTGAGTTTCCAGTTAAATAATAAACTTTCAAGAATAACTGCCGTTAGCCAAATCTTGAATAAGAAACTTTTGTATATTCTAGTAGGTATGCAAGTACGTACAACTTCAACCGTTTCAATCAACGCAAAACGCTACGAACTTATAACATACGATCTAAATAAGATCTTCAGGCCAAGTAGTACCCCACTAGATAGCAGATATCTTACTTGGATTTTCATAAAGATTAGCACTTAATCGAAGCACATGCATTTGGAGAAGAACAAGCAAACGTCAGGTCGAATTCCTGCGGTGTAAAGATACTCCGTCGCTATACCATCATTATTATCCTCGTCATTGATGGGGAAGAAAGAAGCTCAATCCCAACAATAACTGGTACAGCTACAGGAGATATTGCATTGAGCTACTACCACTAAGTCTCAATGTGATCCTCCTCAGCGTTCAAGGCTCTAAGCTTCACACTTATTTCTTTCCGGTCGAGCCACCGTTTCCGCTGGGAGGAGTATAGGTCGAACCACCACTTCCGTTGTTGTAGTAGGTACTTCCATTGGGGTTGGAGTAGTAGTAAGATCCGTTGCTGAGAGGAAGGTATTAGATGGGTTTTGGTTCGCTCTAGTAGAATTATAGGTAGGGTATTGAGATGGATGACTGACCTGTTCGAGTAGTGGTAAGAGTTCGAGTTAGAGCTACCGGATCCGTAGTCGCGGGAGCACCAGTGATTTCCCTTTTTTTTTAGTTGATTTGTTAGTCGTTGTTGAGGGTGACTCATGGTATATGGAACTTACCTGGCTGTTGGTGCCGGAGCCCTTGTAGCTGAAGTCCTTTCCGGAGCTGGACATGGTTTTGTTTGTTGTTTGTAATTGTTTGATGGAGAGAAGATGTCAGAGGGTCAAGAAAATGGGGCTTGGATGAAGAGTTGGAAGTTGGATAGAGGGGAGTGAGAAGGGTGGAAGCATCTTAAATAGAGGAATCTTAAATGGAAGGAGGGGCACGGCAGCAGCCGGCAACGGATCTTTGGTTCCATGTCGTGAATATGGAACTTTCCTTATTCCATTCACTATATCTATATTGGTGATTTGACTGGTATTAATTGACAAATATTGGGAGATTGGTTACACGCATGTAGGATAATAGACCTGTCACGTGTCGAGGAGTTGAATGATTGATGTATCGAATTTGCTGTGACTGAGTGGACAAGATCTTTGGTCATCATTGATTCCTATGTGTATGAATTAGAGATATCCTTCTGTTTCAAGATGCATCCAGGCCATCGTCTGCGTTACGATGGAGATACTACAATCGATACCAGCACTAAGTACTAAGTAAGAGTTGGTCCTGCTGGAAAGCTTTCTACCCAATTAGGAAGGCACTGCGTTGGCTTATGCATTTTGCACAAATACTTACGTCAGCATACGTCACACATTCTGTGCACATTCCCAATACGGAATAGTCCCAATCAAGGAAAGTATGTGCGACAGGTGGGATCTCTGCCTTATCCCAGCCTAGATCCTGTACCTGACAGCTTCAGGGTAACGGTATCGGACCCCGAGGTCCCTGCATTGGCTGCATTGCTAATAGAGCCTAATGGCACGAACTCGCTTCGATCGATAAGGCTGCAGTTATCCCGCTACATTCGCAGAAACCTCCTTGCCACGTCTGGCGAGGAAGTAAGGTATACAAAAGCCCGTCCTTGTATGGGAAAGAAGATAATCTCCTATGTCTAGCTAATGCGTTGTTCATCGTCCAAAAACATGGTGGTCAGAGGTGGTATGTCACATCATTCATAGCTGACGTTCTCAGAACATCGTTGTCCCGGACGAAGACACTCACACTTACAAAGGTAGTGATGTACTTCACCCCGGTGTCTTGTACACAGTGCCTAATCCTCTTCAATATATCAATACCACAAACTTAAGGTGTGGCGCTACTCTGCTGCCTATACAGATCACGTGTCTCTTCTCAACGTCGTGTCTTCCAAAAAGCATGAAAGTTCTGACGGCCTACACTCATCACCGCAACCGAGCTACCATGTTTATGTTGCCCCTATGCCTCTGATTCGTGTTTTCTAGGCCTCTACCTTATTTTCAAAATATGACTTTGCCTTAAATTGCACTTACCAAGCATTGGCTATGTTGGTTCCTGTTTGACCATGTCTCTATCGCGATGGCTCAAGGACTATTACCGGAAAAGGTAATCCAAGCCCTCCTTCATCTCCTTTAGTAAAGCTGACTTCAAAGCCCCTATAAGATCTTTTAATATTTTTTCGGTTCTCCCTTTCCCATTAGTCCCATACTACCAATGCTTGGGTTCATGCTAAGAGCCTTCCAACATGCCATCCACGACCCGACGCTTCCCCCCAACGCTCCCAACTTCTGTCTAGATTGAGCTGTTCATAGAGATAATTAGTTTGAGGCATTCAGATAAACGATATATGTCACGCCATGCATACAAGCTTTTACAAAGTTATGATCGACAGAGCAAAAGCACTTACACAGCCGAGCTGCGAGATCTCACTAGTGATCTTCGGATCTTCAGATCGACAGCACAACTCTAGAATACCTTCTACAATTTATCGGATCAGGAACATTGATTCTCAGCATCGCGCGCGCGCATTCATTTCTTCTACTCAAAGTAGGTACAATCACTCAAAATTATCAACAGAAATTCAATTAACAACTCAACAAGATCAGATCAATCCGGATAGCTCATCACTCATTTTTCATTCATCCCCGGGTTTGTCGTCTGGACGAAGACATTGAAGCGACCGATATCTCATGCATAGGGATGCATTTAGATGTACTTGACAGTGACGCTGTCGCTGGTGACGGAGGTCTCGGTGAGGACAGTGTCATCCTGCTCAATGTCCATAATGGTGGCGTCAGCGGGGCCGACAGTAGAATCGCCGCTGGTGGCCTCAGCATTGGTGAAGGTAACGGAGCCGAAGTCAGCGAAAGCAACAAGGGAGTCACCGGACTCGAAGTCCTCAACGATCCACTCGGCGTTGTACTCGCAAAGGTCACCCTCAACGTTGCCGCTGAAGGTGTGGGTAACGGACTGGCCAGTGGTCAGGTTCTCAATGGTAGCGCTACCGCTGCTGTCGCTGGTGGCCTCAACAGTGACCTTGATGCTGTCACCCTCGGAGATGGTGATGTCGTCGAAGTCGTAGGCGTAGTCGGGGTACCACTCGTACCAGGCATCGTAGGAAGTCTGGCCATCCTCGTAGCAGAAATCGATACCGGTCTGGAGGATAGCGGTCTCGCAGGTGTCACCGTCGATACCAACCCAGGCGGAGGCGCAGTACTCCGTGGACTGTCTCTTGGCCTTGTTCTTGAAGCCACCGCCGCCGAAGCCACCGCCGCCGAAGCCACCGCCGCCGTAGCCACCGCCGTAGCCACCGCCGTAGCCACCACCGTAGCCCCCGCCGTAGCCCCCGCCGTAGCCACCGCCGTAGCCACTGGAGGAGCTAGAACCAGCAGAGACACTGGGTACAGTGAACTCGCCAGTGACCTTGGTGTAGCCGGTGCCGACCAAGACGGCACCAGCCCAGTTCTCACTGTACTCCTCGTTGGAGGTGCCGTTCAGCTTGAGGATCTCCTTGTCGGAACCAGGGACGTAGGGAGGGTTAGTGTGACGCTTGCCAGCGGCGCGGGCCTCCTTGCGAGCACGGCGCTTCTCAGTGAGAGGAGCAGCCAGAGCGGCAGTGGCGAAGAGGGAGCCGGTCAGGATGGTAGAGAACTTCATTTTGACGGTTGGAGGATTGGTTTCTTCGAAAGGATGAAGAGCTAACTTATTGGCAAGGCTAGTGATGGGAAGAGTGAGATGATCGAACCAGGCGATGCTTGAGAGACTTGCGATGCTGGATGAAGAAGAAAAGCAACCAGAAAAGCGGGACTCAGGTCTCTATTTATGCTCGAGCTTTCTGCAAATGAAGCTGGTGTTTTCTTTCTCTATTTTCCCTCTTCCATGCTCTTCCGATAGCATGCAATCCGCCGACGATGACACCACTGCTCCTCCTCGTCCGACGGAGTTTAATCTCCAGGTCCGCCAACTAAAGTCGACTAAAACCGGGGATGCAGAGTCGTTCACCGTCGGGGCAGCAGCAGCCATAGCTGCAGAAAAGACGTTCCCCGCCCAACGATACGGGGAAAACGATTGTGGACATGCAAAATGTCGAGCGAGAGTGGAGCATCATACTATCCGTCCAGCATGACCCGCACGAGTCGCCATCTCTCTACGCCAAAAAGACATTCTGGTTGGAGCGCAATTCCTTGCAAGCCAAGATTGTGTTGCATTAGTGATCATCTCCTCTTCCTTCGTCCAGGCCGCAAAGGACCTCCCGGCAAGCCATATCCACCTTTTTTTTTCCCCCTCATTGTTGGATCCCGTTTCTACCTAGTAAGGTCCTCCTTCAGAACGTACCTAACGGGCACGGCTAGCCAGCCAGCCGGCAAGCCAACCCGCGGACTAAACACGGATACTCCGGATAGAACGAAACTCTCCCTAGCAGCGCGGACGAACATGCAATAGTACGGCAGCCACCCGATCAAAGGGGCGAATTGAAGTCAACCAGACATCGTTCCACCAGTGGAGAGGGGAGGGATTTGGGGGGAGGGAGGGAAGAGAGGGGGGGGACGGAAGTCCGACGGCTTGGCCCAGCGCCGGGAGCAGCGGCAACTAACTAGGTTACTCGGCCTTATCTTACGGCAGGGCTTAATGGCGCTGGCTGGCGCTTTGGGCAGGTTTGGTATATTGGAGTGGAGGATTAGTGGTCGGATGGCGTTGCCCGAAGAGGCATGGGAAGGTGAAAAGGGAAGAGGCACCGGCGCAGGCACAACAAGCTTCACCCAAGCCTTGTGGGCAAATGATAAGCAATTAGGGAGGGGCGCGGGTTGGGATGGAAACTGCAAAGAGGATAGTACAAATGTTAGTAGTACCATACTAGATGGATTAAGGTAAGAGAGGGGGGAAAGGTGTGCGGGGAAAGTCATCAATTGGCTAGCAGGGGTTTGATAAGGGAGGATTGGAGATGAATAATGCTAGGTAACTACTATCTCTTAGAATGCTGCTGGCTGGCTGGCTAGGTAACAACAAGACTGAGTACGAACAAAAGTAGACTAGATAAATCGATGGGCTTGAGCCGGCGTGTCTTGGCCGAAATCGGATGTAACCTTTTTCAGTCAGTATATTAGCAGTTTTGTTGAAAGTCTGCACTGCACGGGCAGTGGAGATCGAAAATGAAATGGATCATGACGGACGAGGCGCGAGGGGAATCCGATTCGGGGCACAGCACCAACAGCGATGGAGGGTTTAGTGGATAGAGAAATAGATTAAAAACGGGAGTCTAATTCTGCAGAGATAAAGCCGGTGACAAGGCACAGCAACCAATCAGATACGATAGAGCTATACAGTCAGACAATGCCGCCACAAAAGGATTGTTTGGTGTGGGGGGTTTCTCTAATATAATCCATCCAATCATAACTAACGGGCGGGATCCGTCCGGCTGATCCCTTCTGGATTGAGCTTAATCTCCTTGACGAATACTCAGAGTACTGTTGCCAATTCGCTTGTAAGTTATTATTTTAATCAATTGTTACTTATACTTATCCGCTTCGGCGAATTTATCTCCGGGTTTCTTGCTTCTACTATTTGCAGCGGATCTCTGCAGGCACCCAACTTTACCTTACCCAGTCTAACGAATTGATTGGTTTGATTTGTTTTCTAAATGAAATCGTAGTAGTAGTATCTTGTATCTTCTATCTGTTTCTTGCTGATCCTAATTCTTCCTTCACTTTATACCGATCCAATTATGTCATTATTCCAGTCTCTCTAATTCAGCTCCGAGCGAGTTAGCTCCCACTAAATTCCAGCTTCCAGCTCGGGAATGGACTTTCCCTTTCGGGGAGCTTCTCCGGATTTAGCAGAGTACTAGACTAATAGTAGGCAGCACAAGACAAGAACCTATCCAATATGGAGTAGTACCCACTACAATAGCAAACAAGTTCAGTTAACTCCTCCTCCTTATCAAACCTCCGATATGACCGATAAAAAACATTATGCAAAGATAAGTTGTGTGGCAATTCCGCAGGATTCCACTGACAATCAGAAGATACTAAATATGTACTAGTTACTCCGTAGGGTACCGGCGAAATCCTTCCTACGAACCAGCTAGCTAGCTAGCTAGCCAGCCAACTAAGCGGAAGGTCGGAAAACCCGCACAAGCCCCTGACTTAATCCCTCAATCCATGCCCTTTTCCAACATCATACTTATAGTCATCGTACAGTCATAATCCTGCAACCTACCTATTGCATCGGAGATGCAAGGTACATACCACAGATATATACATACAGGTTATGGGTAGGGATTGGGTTGGTTATACGCGGTATACGCCGGATATGCATGATTTTATTATCATCTCCTGCCGGGGCATCATGGAATAGAGTGATTAAAACCTATATTTGCATACCATGGATATTAACGATAGTAATAATCACAAGGGTCATGATCATGATCCTGATCGCAACCCGATCATTCGAACCAGGCATGACACGACTGGGCTGATTTCTGCAGCTTGGCCAGGGAAACACCCCCCCCCTTGGGGTGAGCGCTATGACATAGGAGTTTAATTTGTACTATACTAAACTAGTTATAGTCAATTCAATTCATTTAAACAATTTCCCTTTCTAGCCGAGATTGTTCTCTATCCGGATATCCCACCCGGACTTTCCATCTCTGCCAGAACATAATACTACTATACTGTCGCTAAAATATCTTCATACTAGTATACTACTCAGTAAATAGAATACTCCATCGGTCCTCCGACAATCCAAAATGGATCTTCTTCATTCAAATTTCGCAGTTTCCCCCCGACACCATGCAGACGATATCATGCGAGATGCACGTGTGTGTTTATCTCATAACTTTCCATTCTAATCCCTGATAATGTCTGCGCGGGATTCCGTGGGGACTCCGTGACAATTCCACAGTGCTTGTCTGAAGAAAAAGATAGCGGAGAGTACTCGGGGAAATTTTTCCCAAGGTGCTGCTTCTGCAAGCATGTGATGGACAGGGGTTTTGTTCTGGATCCTGATTTTTGTACTATGTACTACGTATGTATGTAGTGGTGGAATGGTCTAGATTGTTGCTGGTGGGATTTTGGATGTGTTTTCTCGGTTGGTGAGGAGGGAGTGGCTGGGTGGGTGGGTTGGCTGATCGAGGTTGGAGAGTATGGGTGGTGAGGGTATATACTTGTTTCTTTGGCGTGTGTGTTTGAGGGATTTATTTTGATTTACAGTGGTGGTGGTGGTGGTGGTGAATGTGTTTCGTGGTAGTCGTGGGGGTGAATGTTGTTGTTTGGTTGCGATAGTGGGTAAGTAAGTAGTGATGATTTGTTATAGTGCGGGTCGGTCTACTCAAGGAAGGTGAGTATTTGAGGTGTTGGATTCCCGGCAGGTGCGTTTGCATTCTTTGCTATTTATTAGCATCTATCATTGTGATATTTTACTTCAATCTCTCATGGCTATATTACATGATGTTAAAGTTATAAGTGAGTTGAGACTGGAGTTATCACCAAAGTGCGCCCTTCAGAAAAGTTAAGTCCAATCCGTTCACTATTAAGTACCACTACATTGTTGAAATTTAACCAGGACAATCAAAGAATACTCTGCATCGATATAGATGAGGTCGTGAAAAGATCATCAAGATCGACATGATCGACAACTAAATCGTGGCGTTACTAGCTGTCGCCATGGCGGAAGAAGTCGCGATCAGCCATCCGCCATCCGCCATCCGCCATCATCAGCCACCCGATAAGCCTGTATACACATCTACATTAATCGTACACTCTACTCTTCACTACAATTCACTCCAGGTATCTAAAAAAAATACATCACTCCATTTCTAGTCTATAAACTGTTTAACCACTGTAGTCAATGACAACAGCCAACCGAACAGGCCCAGCAGAGAGGTTTCCACCAATACCACCCTCATCAGTCTCAGCAGAAGTATAAGCATTGTCAACCTCGGCGGCATCAGCCGTGATGCTGGAGCAAGTGGAGCCCAGGGCATCACAGATCTGCATACCCTGAACGCTCATATCATTGTCCTGAGCCTGGATAGCACTAACATCGAATCCAGACCAATCGTCGTTGGCAGTGGATCCGAAATCAAATTCACCCCAGGTGCAAGCATATCCGCCGCTGCTACCAGTGGGGAGGGAAGAGCCCTGGGCAGCACCGAATGCACCCTGAGTGTCCTCATCAAAGGCGACGTACTTGGTCTCACCAGAGGACAGGGTGAAGGACAAGGCAGAGTATCCGTACCAGCCGTCCATCTTTCCATCGGGGCCGTACTTGTTCCAGAAGACAACGGTCCAGTCCTCGGAGTTCTGGCCCGTCAGTTGCATGACGTACTTGTAGTTGGAGGCCTCGGAGGCAGACACCTCGATGATGTTGCTGCCCCACGGGTCGCCGACGTTGCCGATGTAGGTGTCGCCGCTGCCGTAGGAGGAGGTCTCGCTGCCGAATCCAGAGGTCGAGTAGTCGCCGTCACTGGGGGTGGAGGTCCAGTCGGAGGAGCTGGCGCTGCTGGTGGAGCTGGAGCTGGAGCTGGAGGAGGGGGCGGAGATGGAAACCGAGGCAGAGGCCGAGATGTCGATCTGGCGACGGGAGTGGCCTTGGACCTTGGTGGGGGTCGGCTGGCTGAGGGCGCTGGGGAGAGCAGCTGCCAGCAGCAGGAAGGGGGTGGTGAAGTACATCTTTCTTGTTATTTGAAGAGAGTGTATGTAGAGAGTGTGTGTGTCGCGTCGAGCGAGTGTGTATAACGATAGTGTGAATGTAAAGAATGGATGTCGTACACCTATCGAAAGAGTACGACGGAGTCTTGGTATGTAAAGACTGTGTGGTAGTTGGGAATCACAATTTCCTGAGTGTTCAGAGAGGAGGATATGGAAGAAGAAGACGAGGTCTATATACCTGTGCTGGTGGGCGTGCCATGGCTGTCTCTCTTCTGGAACTGAAATAATGGATGTGTCCAGAACAGGGAGGGGATGGGGTGCGTCAGCCTGAATGCCATGGATTGAGGTAGTGGAGGGTGGTTGACGCGGTGGAGGGTCTACAAGCCATTGTGGAAGTCAGAGCAAGCAAAGTAATCCCATTGGCTGGATATTGGCTTGGGATGAAGTTTAGAGGCATCCACTGCCATGAATCTGGACTGTGGTCGGTGGAGGAGTGGATTAGGGTTTCTTGGTGGGGGGAATAGGTTGTGACATGAGAAGAGTTGTTTGAAAACTCAGCCAAAGGTATCGGCTGTTTCACGTGTGTGAGACTGCCGTCGATTCATGCCTCAAAAAGTGGCTTGAGGCTGTTACTTCCATTGTATGTGTGTGAGAACTGGGCTGTTTCAGTTTCAACGGCTATAAGGCTGATGCATGAGACTGTGTCTGTTCAGATAGAAGCAAAGCGGGCGAAAGGATCAAAGAAATCACCAATCTAGAGTGAAGTGGACGACAAACTCCCGAGAAAACTGGGTTTCCTATAGTCTGGTGGAGCTATTAGTACGCACTATTTTCGTTGACAGTGATTCTGGCCAAGCGTATCTGTTTTCTGTCTGTCCAACTGGTCTTTGCTTCCCCCTTCTATCACTCACCTTCAACCATCGGTAACCTGCCTCTACACCCATTCAGCCCCTATTCACCCTCAACTTACCAGCAGCGCACAAAGCCCTCCCAGCCAAGACAGGAATAAAGCCCACAAAAGAAGAATTCACAAAAATAATCAATCCACGAATTGTCACCATCAACCATGGTTTTACCTTTCTGGGCCAGGGGCTCGAACCCAATGCACGCAAGCAGTGGTTCCGCCCTTAGGCAAAGCAACAACGCTCATTGGGCGAAAATGTAACCGGTCCAGGGGAACATCCGCTCCGACCAATGGCAAAACATCGCCTACAAAATCCATGCACAGTCAGCGGTTATTGGGCGAGAGCGAACCGTGGGTCAGAAGCTTGGATTTCTCAAAGAGGGAAAGCAGCTGCTCCTTGGCGGGCCAGCACACGTTCTGAGGGCGTCGCCCTGTGCGCGGTGTTCCTGACGACCCAGCGTCCTGTTGCCGAGAATTCCATGGACGGTGTCCTTCCAACGGGATCAAAGAATTTTCTTTCACGAGGGTCTGTTGTTCTGCTTGTGGGTGGGGAGGAAGTAGATCTGGACACTTTTAGTGTCGTTTGTTTATCCCAGAAAGAGCAGGTGGAACCAGCACACAACTTGTGCCAATGCATGGCATTTGTGCGGCAATTCTAATAGCTGCTGCTAACCTGCTTCAGCATTGCTCTCTCCACAGTATGTGTTTGTTTGGTTGACATCCACGAATATTCAAATTGGATTGGACTTCGAGGCGAGCCGATCCTGCTTGCGAGGCTCACACTTTGCAATTGAGTTCAGCCATGGAGTTTGTGGCCAAGATTGATGACCTGGCAGAAACTCTTGGGGTGTGGCGAAGAATAAGCGGTGCGAGTTGGATGACACTAGGCTAGTGTCTTGCTTGTTGCGATCAATGTGAGCTAGCGTAAACTGGGCTGGGTGTCTAGACTCAGCGATTACGCAGTATAGTGCACACTACTAGAGAGAGGTCAGTATACTCATCACATACCCTAGGTGCAGTCGTCATGAGAGGTTCGAAACCTGATTCTCCGCCTCCCACACTATGGATATACAAGCTTAAACTTCCGCTGTGGCAAGATGAGCTTCAGCATGTTGCCTCATGTAGCAATCTGGAGTGAGCTGTGCAGCTTGAATTGACTTTGGGTGTATGAGCAGAGCCGGCTGAGGAATCTGGTTCCGAGTGTGCCCGGTCGGGGCGTGTTTCAGTGGCCACTGCGAGATTTGAGAAAGGCTGTTAATCAGCGGGTGAGATATTTATGGTGTGACTAGGCAGAAGTTTAAAGGTCCTGATATCATGAATTAGCTTGTCACTAATGTCTTAGTCTAGTGTAAGGCACTTTTGCTTTCCTGAGGTGCCGGGGTTTTATACAGTGTCATATGCAGGTGAAAGTTTCCCACATGATATCATGTGAACAGCCATAGTTGGTGTCACTGATCTACTGCTGATAGCAGTCAAACATGTCATAGATGTCCTGTTGTCGACCGAGGTCTGATGCAGATGGAAATCAATCTGGCCAAGTCTCCGACAAAGCATACTAAGTAGCTCTGTTCTTTTCCCGATCGCATCATTAACCAGTTACTGCTCCGAACACACTCCAGCACCAAACCTACAACCACCCTACAACAAACACAACCGCACTTGAATGAACCGCAACCCAATTATGCATTTATTAACCCAGCTAACCCCAAAACCCAAAAAATACCCTGACAAACAAACAAGGCAGAAAGAATCCAGTTCCAGAAAAAACGAACTCCTACCGCATTACTCCCTTTGCAAAAGCACCAACAACCCCATAACCCCCAACATCACCGTCTTCAACCACGGATGCTCTGACAGAAGAATCGTCACATACCCCACAAACGGAATATACCCAAACACGCTTCCCACGACATCGTCCCGATCGAGGTAATCCTGTCCGCGCGCATAGAGTTCCGTATCATCCGCAATGTTGTTGTCGCCTTTCGTGAGAAGCTTGGCTTCGGATCTGCATGATTCGAACCATAACCAGATTAGCATACTGCGCTCACACACTCCAAGTTTCATTATATCTGGAACGAATATATTCCGAATCGGGGAATACACTCACCCCTCTCCAAACTGCCTCACTACCCGATGCACAATCGGAATATCCTTATCCTTGACCTGATACACCACGATTTCTCCAACGTTCAGCGTCGGTTGCGTATTCCGGAGGAAGAGGAGATCTCCGCGCTGGAAAGCGGGCTCCATGGAGCCACTGAGGACGACTACTATCGGACTGGGGGAGTTGGTGAGGACCGAGAGACCTTTCCACATCTGTAGATTTCCACCCGAGTGTTAGTGTCTGTAAGCAATTGATCTTGCGATCGTATATTTTCCCCGATGGTAGTTTGTGATGGGGAAGGATTGAAGGTATCGTACCATAAATGCAGTGCTCAGGACCAGCCCGAAATTGAGCAGCTGGATGGCTGTTTGCCGTACATTTTGGATTCCGGATAGCATGGTTGCGTTGGGGGGTTGTGAGGGTTGGTGGTGACGTGCTTGTGCTTTGTATGTATGGATGGTCTAGGTGGCCTTGTTTGTTTGATAGGTCGTGATGCTTAGGTAAGGTGTGGCTGGTGCTGATGGTTTTGGCACGTGAGTGTGGCGTGTGGTGGGTGTGGGGCTAGCCGGCCTGGGATGTAAAGGCTATTGCGGTGATTCTTTGTTTAGGATTGGGTTTTTCAGGCCTATGTATTGTGAGTCTAGTAGATGATATTAACACTGGTATCATAGTGTCTATCTACTCTTCCCGCAAGAGCGGTCCCCTCTTAATCGGCTCTAGTACAGTATACTGCTGCGTCGGCGGAAGTGCATCCTGACTCCAATGCACGATTGCATGCCGAAGCCAATGCGCATATGTCCCGGGAACATTATCTGATCCCTCATTCTCCCTCCACAACGACCCGAGTGTCACATTCATCACCTCCAGGATATATCCGTGAGCGAGTTTAAACCCGAAACTCTTCGTCAGACAAGCTTCGACGATCTCTCTCGCCTGCTTCTGCTCTGCGGTCTCCACCTCGCCTTCCTTGGGCAGCGGCAACAACATGAGCTCGAATGCTTTCCGGCCATCCCATCCAGTCATGTCATTGATCAACTGCGACCCCTGCATAAACTCGATGCCGTAGAGATGCTCCGCGACATACTTCGGTCCATCCCAGTTATCTTCTTCATCGACTAAGCCCATGACCAGAGTCATGACCTGCCCCTGGATAATATAGTCCGTTAACTCTCTGCACTGCTGCTCCGTCAGATTACCAGTTCCAGTGAGGAACGGCAGTTCCTTCAACAGTGGACTTCGATGCATCCCGTCTGTACACGTCTTTCCTTCCCATAACTTCAATAGTAGACGATGACACCGCTCGAATAGCGGGTTGTTGCGTCTCGACATGAGGAAATAATTGGTAAGACTGCGCTCGTTGGCATCGCCAGCATTGTAGGAGAGCACCTCGAACCGCGAGTCCGGGTTTCCGACCGTCTCACGCCACAATCGATCCACGTCGCCGATCTGGATCAGTCCGACGTCGGCGTAGATACCGCCGTACTTAAGGAGTAGAGGTAGGCGAACAAGGTCAGATGTGTGCTGCTTCGCGTAGGTACCACCGATGGTGCCTTCGGCAAATGCGCGAGGGAAGTTGTTCGTGTCATTGGTATCGATGAAATTTGCTATGTTGAGAGGGGAAGACGGTTCGCGGTCGATCACACGTACGACCCAGCCGGCTTTGGAGAACCGCCGGTGCCATGCGCGCACGTTTCGCTTTGTATATGGGTGCATAGTGGAGTAGCCGCTGTGCCAGAAGAGCCAGATGTTTTTCTCGTCTGTCACGGGTCGGGGGTGGAGGAGGTCATGGTCGACTTCGGAATCGGAACGGATGTCCAGGAGATGTTCTGGGATGATGTGTACCCCTGCTGGTACGGGATATTGCTGGCTAGAAATACCCATGTTATTGTGGTGAGCTGAGGATGTAGTTTGTACTAGTGGCATTTATCACTTGGTGATCGATTCGGGGAGGATGTATGGAGAAGCCTGGGCCTGTCACTCTGTGAGGAGTGCTTGAAATGATATTGTTGTTGATTGTCGGCGACATGCAGGATTCCTTCCCCATTTATACAATTCTGATATCTATACAGGTACCGAATCTGGAATATCCGCGACCCACCTGGTGGAGAGGCGGTGCAGCATTTAGAATGAGTACAACATGACTCATGGTGAGTGAGGCCTTCCGGGGCCAATCAAGTCTCCTAAATTAAGCTAGTGCTCACTCGTGGCGCACATAAGAGTTCTCAAACTGACACTGCAATTTTATGCCGGCATATATCGCTTCGCTTGACTAAATCCGATCACGGGCTATTCCAAGTATGTTATTTCATTGAATTCAGACCTCAGTTGTGGCTGAGTGACTTTGGTGCTCTGTGAGTGTTCTGACAGCAAATGTGGCAAAGTATGGGTTTTAGTGCACCCACACGGCGCTAGTCCAGAATGGTCGGATTGTCTATGGAATCGGATATGCGATTTGATGCAACTGGCATCTTTTCTTCGGAGATATACAGCACCACGTAGACAATGGGTTGCAGGATCGACGCTACTGCAGGTCTGCCAGATCCATGATACAGTGGGTTGGTCACCGTAGGCGGGTCATTGTACAGCATCTGCCCGGTACATCCAAGGGGTCAGGCAATTAGCCCACCACCACCACCCAATATCTCCTCACAATAACTGAACGGTGAATACACTCTCATCAACGCGTCACGAGGGCGCGTCCTCATCGGACAAATGTTGAAAGTGGATTTTCGCGATTCTTTCGACATCTCAGTTGGCGGATGCTTCTTATTGGTCTGTCTAGATCATATCAGATCGATATCTACGGTGTGAGTGTGAACTGGGGCATTTCATGGTAGCACGTGGTTCTTCTAACATTGAGCTGTCTTACATACTCTGTGGTAGTTTGGTGCACGTCAGTGTATTGTATGTAGCTTAATGGTTATTGTTATTACTATAGTTGGTTATATGGAAAATGCCCGAGATACATCCTATCCGCACAATATATATCTCGACACCCTAGAGAGAAATAAATCCACCATCGCCATCTCACGAAGACAGCCCTTCCAGACATCTCAAGCAAGATAAATAACTCCAAAGTCTCTGGAAAATCGAAAGGCAGGACAGTAACAAGCAATGTATACAAAGCATCCAAACCCATGTCACATGACATCAAAAACAGACTATACCCAGAGCGGCCAATCATAAGCCCCAGCTTCTGTAACACTAAAAGAAAGCGGTTTTCACCAAGCCAGCCCGGCTAGCTCAATCGGTAGAGCGTGAGACTCTTAATCTCAAGGCTGCGGGTTCGAGCCCCGCGTTGGGCTGTTCAACTTCCTCTTTCCCTTTGCCCGGCTAGCTCAATCGGTAGAGCGTGAGACTCTTAATCTCAAGGCTGCGGGTTCGAGCCCCGCGTTGGGCTTGAGGAGTTGTTTCTTTTTTCTCTATCTCATGTCAAATTCTTTTTTTTGGTGGTGGATTGTTTGTTTGCCGGTACCCGCTGTGTCGGGTAAGTAGATAGATTGCCCGCAGTCTGAGGAAAGTCACGTGCCCATGCCTATCTTCCGCACTTTACAGAGAAAAATACAATGATTCGCCACGCTCGGCATCACGCCGAAGAAATCCGCAACCCTCTCAAGGCCCAAACTGCATCAATATAAAAACATATACTTTGTCACGCGTAGTAAACAAAGTGCATCAGCAAAGAGCATTATCAATCAACGTATACAACATTGACTCACCTCACATCAGCAAACGGCGTTCGGCCTCGGCCTTCGGACAAGGCTTATCCGACCACCAGAACCGAAACATATCAAACAGCCTCTGAATCGCATAAATACCCATACACCCCGTAGAACCGTACCACGAACGTAGCACAGAGAAAAACAAAAACACCCATCGTCCTACCTGGACCAAAAAGAGCAAGAACTGGGATTGATCATCATGCCCCCCTCCATCGGCCTCATAATCTGCAGCCAGCGCACACCCCGCGCAGGCCCCCAAATCGGCACATTCATCCACAACACCATCCGTGAATCCTACCCCGCTGAAAAAGCCACCATTACGACCATTGACCTGGCAGAATGGAATCTCCCACTCTATAATGAGTCAGGGATGCCTTCGCGCATCAGCTCAGCAGATGAGTACGAGCACGAGCACACCAAGGCCTGGTCACGGGAGATATCGCGCCACGAGGCGTTTATTTTCGTCACACCGCAGTATAACTGGGGGTATCCGGCGAGTGTGAAGAATGCAATCGATTATTTGTTCCATGAGTGGAAGGGGAAGCCGGCGTTGGTGGTGAGTTATGGGGGGCATGGGGGTGGGAAGGCGGCGGAGCAGCTGAGGCAGGTGTTGCAGGGGGTGAGGATGAGGCCGTTGGAGAGGATGGTCGGGTTGAAGTTTCCGGAGATGAAGGAGGTTGAGAGGGCGGCTAGAGGGGAGGATTTGGGATTGGATGGGGAGGGGGGATACTGGGTTGGGGAGAGGGAGGGGATTCAGGCTGCTTTTGGGGAGTTGATTGCTGCGCTGGAGGGTGAGAAGGAATAGATGGGGGTGTTTTGTGCTTGCTTGCTATAGCATGTGGCTTATGTGATTCAGTTAGTAATAGATCATTGCCCTGAGGCTGGGATAGAAGACTGGCGCAAGAAGATACTGTCACAAGTTCATGATATTACCTGGGTGTTGCCATGTGATGCCAACCCGGCCATATACCTGAAAGTAGATGATCAGATGCACATTAATGTTGTACAGACAACCCCATATCTACCCCGTCATTATGGTAAAAACCCGCAACCACATTGTGATTCATGATCACCCAGAGAAATTAGATAATTGTGTCAAAGTTGAAGTCAGGCGAACTTGTCTTGTCAAATAGTGTCTGTCCACAAACAGATAGATGCAGGAACTGCGCACCCCTGCGTACTCTACACCCGTGGATATCTCATAAGTGAAGCATATGATTCCCTGTTTGTCATGAGGACGCCGGGGTGTATCATCACATATTATCCAACTGGACTATTGTCCAAATCGGTGTATAAGTAAGCATATTAAGAGCTTTACAGTGGTGCAGCACACTCCCCCAGCCACTATACGCTTGAGATGACCAGTTAAACACACTAGCCAGTCATCGACACATCCCCTTTAAAAACCTACTGTTATATGATCAACCGTGTCTGATGGTCCACCTCTTTATTTTACTCTGCTCCCTCGTAGCCCTACTACCGGCGGCTGCCCCTTTCGAGACCATAACCTGCGACATCTGCATCCTCGGAGGCGGAAGCTCAGGAACATACAGCGCCATCCAACTAAAAGATGCAGGGAAGCACGTGGTAGTAATAGAGCCCACCAACCGGCTCGGAGGACACGCAGAGACACTATACTTACCAGATGGCAACTACGTCGACTACGGCGTCGAAGGTGTCTTCAACAACGAGCTCTCCCGCAACTATTTCCGCCGACTAGGGGTAGACTGGAAGCCACTACTCCCACTGAACAAACGAACCGACTTTGTTGACTTTTCAACTGGTGAACGTGTCGACCCGCCAGCAGGAATCTTACAAGCCCTGGTATCAACATTCCATTACCGCTCATCCATAAAGCACTGGACGTTCCTCACAAAAGGGGTATACGACCTCCCCGACCCTGTACCAGAAGACCTCCTCCGTCCATTCCGGGACTTCGTCGAGGAACATTCCCTCGAAGCTGCCCTGCATGTGGTGTTCCTTTTCTCCCAGAATGTAGGGAACCTTCTCGACATGCCCACTCTCTATGCGATCCAAAACTTCGGAGTCCCCCACGTTGACGCTCTCATCCATGGCTACATCACACCGAAAAACGGCATGTATGAACTGTACAGACAAGCAACGGAAACACTCGGTTCGGACGTGCTGTTCCAGACAAACGTGGTTGCAACAAACCGGTCTAATTCCGGGGTGGAGGTAACTGTTCAGCATGCGAACGGCACCCACAAGCTCATTCGAGCCAGAAACCTGCTTATAACCTTCCCTCCGCTCATGCAGAAACTTCAAGGCTTCGATTTGGATGAAACAGAAACGGACCTGTTCCAGAAATGGTTCTGGAGAACATACTACGTCGCCGTGGTCAATAATACCGGTATCCCAGACAAGCTGTGGGTCACTAATACCGATCCCTCCAACGGACTGGGTTCTTTACCTCGCATGCCATTCGACTTTCTACTGCAGTATATGGGAGCGCCGGGACATTCAACGAGCAAATTAGTCGGCGATATGAACTTCACCGCAGAAGACGCGAGAGACCTTATCGCGGCGGATTTTGCGCGGATGAAGGCGAAGGGGACGTTTCCGATCCAGGATCCTCAGATCGTGGTGTTTGGGGATAGTTCGCCGGAGACGTTGATGGTGTCACCGGAGGAGATTCGCAATGGATTCTATCGCAAGTTGTATGCGCTTCAGGGGCGGAGAAGTACGTATTTTACGGGGTTGACGTTTTGTTCGGATTTTTCGTCGTTGATATGGGCGTATACGGAGACGGTTTTGGAGAGTATGAGTTGGGATGTGTAGGATTATTGATCGTATATACCATGCTTAATTATATTTGCCATCCTCAATTAAATTACACTAGTCTATTAATAGACATCACCAACGGAAAGTACTTTCTTTCTTATAATCTAGCAGATAAATTTTATCATAATAACCTCTACTATTACCCCCCCCCAATGACGTCGACAAACCCGCCACAAACACCAAGCAAGTTATCCTCAGCGCGGGGGAAATCAAAACCAGAATTTGGTACAGTACTGGATTATTTTCTCACCCATTAAGACACTACTAATTCTAGCACAGCATACATTGTATCACCCACCGCAACGCCACCAATATGACCAGTGGCCTGACACATAGACCTGACACATTCATCGTCAGATACACTCCGTATAGACAGTTCCAGACCGCACTCTGAAATACCGCACTACGTCACAGCCATTGAAGGGCTAATAGTAAGTATCTCCTATTAGTACTCAGCTAGCCTGCCCCCGCCGATCCCCAAACCAAGATTTAAGCGACAATTTACACTCAATGAATGCAGCAGATCGAATGGGGGTGACGATAACGGGCGGGCCAAGCATTGAATGCGTCGGGCTGGTTGGCTGGCGGGGAAACGGACGGGATGCCCGTCCCGCCGCCCATCGGTTGGCAGTGAGCTAAGCTTAGTACTCTCTCTTAGTACTAGTAGCCTGCACGTGGGGAAAGCCCGTCTCCCGCTTGGCTTATCGCTTGGATTTGGATGGTTGCGATCGGCAAGAGATAAGTTAGTAAGTAGTTGGTTGATGTGTCGATTTTGTACTTGTCTTATCTATTGGTGGGTGAATTGTGGCTGGCGTGATGATGATGATGATGATGATGATGAATTGGGGTGGGGTGGTACATACCCTTAGGTAGGTAGTATAAAGGAGGGGTTTGTGTTCCCTTTCCCTTCACTGTAAACAGCAATTGAATTCCACCACCATACACCAGAACATTCTCCAAAAACAGACTGTCTAAGGAACATCCTTCATATCAACTCCACAAAATGACCATCCCCCACTACGGCGTCTGGATCGCCCAACCAACACGCTACACCGCCCAAACCGAGGAAGAAGATCCCAAGTCGCCTCACATCTACCTCTACTTCAAAGACGACTCCTCATCTAGCAAAGACTACGAAGCCGCCATCAACGTCAAATCCACCGACAAGGACACTCGTCTAGTCTACTGGTTCGACCGGAACTTCACGCACCCAATCACAGAGCAGCTATCCATTCTCGACGAGGGTTTCCACCTCCTAAAATCATATTCCCACCGCAGTCGTCGACACCAGGAATCCTCCTCCAAGCTGCGGGGTCTGGACTTCCTGCGCACAAAGGGTCTGGTGAATATCGAGGCCGGCGCTGTTTTGTCTGAAGCTGATACGGGACCGCATAATGCTGTGCTTGAGGCCTTGGAGCCTATTTTGAATGATGCGATTAGTCAGAAGGCGACGGTGTATATCTTTGGATCGTCGTATGGGTCCGGGATTCATGATGTGCATATGAATCAGGGCAGTGCGCCGTCGTATGAGAATGGGATTTATGAGGATGGGGCGCTGTTGTTTAGCTTCGAGGATGGCCATTGGGAGGCGGTGTTTTTGGCGTTTGCGTCGCAGGAGATTCCCACGGATGATAAGGGGGAGGCGGAGGAGGGGAGTAAGTCGCTGGCTAGTATTTTGGGGCAGTAGGTTTTATGGTGTTGGGTATGGGGTTTTGGGGTAGGACTAATTTGGTGGAATGTTAGTGTGGAACTAGGTTCATGGATTAAGATTTGATAGTGATGAATACGTATTACTATGATAGCTTCAAGTATCATTTATTGAAATCTCTGTCCAGGGTCTATGTACAGACTATGTCCCCAAGTTAAGCCTTCTTCACCCACAACATTTGAGACTGGGTATAACTCTTCAGCCCCTCCAGACCCCATTCGCGACCGTTTCCACTCGCCTTCATACCCCCAAATGGAATATTTGGAGCAACCTGGAAGTGGGAATTGATCCACACCGATCCAGACTCCAACTGAGTACCGATACGTTGTGCGCGATCCACATCCTTGCTCCACACCGAGGCTCCAAGACCTGTATCGGTGTCATTGGCGCGAGCAATAACCTCATCGTCGTCGGACCATTTCATCAACGGAAGAATAGGTCCAAACGCCTCCTCTTGCACCACTCTGGAGTTGTCAGGAGGATTGTCGATGATAGTAGGGGTAACAAAGTAGCCCTCGGATTCAGTGATAGATCCTCCAAGGGCTGGTTTAAGGTTCTCGGTTTGAATAGAAGAGAAGAGATCCTTGAGCTTCCCGTATTGCATTTCATTCTGTACAGGGCCAAAGAATACGTCGGGTTCAGTGCCATTTCCGACCTTGAGGTTCTTAGTGAAGTTGACGAAGGCCTCAAGGAATTTGTCGTAGATCTTTTCGTGGACGTAGAGACGCTTGATCATCATGCAGACCTGGGCCGAAACGAGGAAACTCAATGTGGCAATCTAATCTCTCGGTTAGCCTTCAGTGGATTCTGCCTGAAAGAAGATAAGCATACCTGCGGAACAACCTGCTCAATATCCACATCCTCACAAACAATAGCGGGATCATTTCCTCCCAGCTCCAAGGTAACCGATTTCAAGGTATCCGCACAATGACGCATGATCCTTTTTCCAGTCTCTGTTGATCCTGTGAAGCTGATCTTGTTGATTCCCGGATGCGCCGTCATCAACGGCCCAATATTCCCATCGTCACTCAATACCTGTACCACACCGGGCGGAAAGATTTTCGCCGCCAACTCCCCAATCTTCAACGCGCAGTACGGTGTGAAAGGAGATGGCTTAATGATGATACAGTTGCCCGTATAAACTGCCGGGGCAATTTTCCCTACTGCGAGCAGCAGGGGAAAGTTCCACGGCACGATGCCTGCGACCACACCCATGGGCGTAAAGCGTTGAATAACGCGCTGGTCATCAGTATCTTGGAGCACTTCATCATTAAGTTCGAGTTGCGGAATTTGTTTGCACCATGTTCCGGACATGCTAACCTCGATGGCTGCTTGGCCGTGCGGCTTGCCCTGTTCTTGGACCAGGAGAGCCGTGAGCTCCTCAGCGTGTAGATCAATGGCTTCACCTAGGGCGACAACCTTGCTACGGCGCTCGGAGGGGCTCAATTTGGACCACGTCTTGAAAGCGATCCGGGCGCTATCTACAGCACGGTCCAAGTCTGACGCAGTGGAGACGGGGACGGGTGGATTGGGCTTGCGCGTGGCCGGATTGAGGCTGTGGCGTGTTGCTGATGTGGTTGTGAGTTCATTGTTGATAGTGTTGTAGAAGGACTGTAAAGAAATTAGTCATTTTGTGTCGAGGTATTAGGAGATGAAATGGATTCGACACGTACAGTGAAATCGATCTTATCCAAGGAACCCATTCTGATGTGTAAGGTCACGATATAACTTCAGGCAAAAGAAATTGACGTGCTATTTTTCTTGAAGAGAAGAGATTTCTCTGTCTTATAATTTCGAGATATGAGCTAGCAGAGCTAGCATTTGTAGCTTCGTATTTGTATCTTGGCTGGCTGGGTAATCCCTCAAGCAACTCCACCTTCAGCTCCCAGGTGGGGATAAAGTGGGAACTATGGGCCGCATGCCGTGCCGATGAATACGAGAGGCGTATGCCGCGTGACGACGCGTGACGGCTGGAGCACATCACGAAATGATGCTATGTAGCCCGGGTATCCGTAGTGTAGACTGCATTATGGGCACTTTCTGATCGTCGGGATCAATGGCGTCTCGGGAACTACCCCGAAAAAGGGAATACGGGTTTCGCGGGGCCCCGTGACTCACCAGATCATTCAGCTTCCTTTCAACACATTCGGATCGAATTTGGCTTAGTAGATAGTGGACGGCAGATCAAAGCGGGAGTTGTAATGCCTTATGCCCGAAAGCTAGATAAGGATCGTTAACCCCGCAGGATGGAGATCTGCGAACGGATCAGCATCTGAAGGCTTGGCTGCCTACAGATCCACGCCGCTCATATCACGCCCGCCAATGAGAGTGTAATATCTAAGCAAAGATGTGAGGAGTCACATCGGGTTGTGCTGAGAACGGCCCGTTGATTCGGCAGGGTTTATCGGCGACAAGAAGCATAGGTATCTAGCCCGTTGTACGGAGTCTGAATACTCCACAAAAGATGTTCGCTTAGCTGTGAGGCTGGCCTACTACTTGGCGGCGCATCAATAGCTTGTAATGAAGTGAGTAACTTACACATTTGATCGCTAGTGGCGTGCTTAGTAAACCTTTAAAAAACTCTCCCCGCAGTTCAGAATCCTATTGTGGAAGTCAATTTGTAGCCTCCGAGAAGTTCCATAGCTGCCAGAACGTAATGACTTAGAATATTCGATGATAATGATGATAGAGTTGATGAATTTGGTGGAGTTGTTGTAATGCAGAGTAAAGAAGCGATGACTGAGACCGCCGAAGAGATCATGGAGCCTGATCATGTGATTCATGCATCTACAAAGATAAGACAATTGACGAATATAAGACCAGTCCGTTTTTATCTCTTCATTAACAAAATACTTGGTAATCTCATTCTGGTGTCGCGTCGCACAAAAACAAAATAGAACAGAGCTAGATAGCAAATCCTTCAAAATGAATAAACAAACGAAAAGAAAGCCCTATATCCGCTGCAGATACTTGATAATCTCCAAACGATCCTCCCTCTTCGCCAAGTCCAGGGGAGTATGTCCTTCATCGTCAATGCTGTCGGGATCGGCCTTGCTCTGTACCAGAAGCTCGACACACGCCAAGTGCCCTTTCTCGGCAGCTGCATGCAATGCAGTCTTACCCCACTGACAATGGACCGTGAAGTCAGCTCCGTAGAGTAGCAAGTATTGCACGACCTTTATATGACCGCTGGCAGCCGCTTCAAATAACGGTGTGTCGTTTGTGAATTTAGCTTTGGCATTGGGATTGGCCCCTGCTTTGAGAAGCAGCTGTGTTAATCCGTTGTGACCCATCCTGGCAGCGTAATGCAGCGCGGTCAGTTCCCACTCATCAGTTGTAGTGTTTAAATCACCGCCCCTTTCAATAAATCTCTTCACCGATGGCATATTACCTGCTTTAGCTGCTTCTACCAGCCTTCTTCCGTAGTCTTTCCGGAGGCGAGGGTCGATTGGTTGCTGGAGTGGTCGTGAAACAGGGGATTTTGGAGAACTGTTTCGATCCGCTCGTTTCTTCTCAATGTCAACTTTCTTTGGTTGTTGACAAGGCAGCTCAACTGGTACAGGTGCAGGTTGAAGAGAACGTGCTGCCTGTGTATAACTTGGCGGAGGTTCGCAAGTTATTGGTGGTTGTTGGTGAAACTGCGATTGGTGGACGGGAACGTTCTGGGGATATGTTCTGACCTCCGCATTACCCCCGTGTGCTGGAACACCCAAACTGATATTTTCCGGGACCTCAACCTCAGGAGGGCTGGGGGAAGCGATAGCTAAGGGATTGTTATTAGGACCTTCCATAAAGGAAGAGACACACAAATATGTAGATGGGTTACTCACCATCTGGGGTGACCGGGCCCTCAATCAAAAGCAATAGGTCTTTTGTGTATGCAGCTGCTGTAAGCGCTGCATATCCCTGCCACAGGTCATTCTTATGGGAGTCCGAGTAGTCGCAAATGCCTCGAATAACAAGACACTCGAATGCTTCCTGATAATTCAAAATCAGAAATAAACTTCACGATACTAATCGCGGTACCTCTATTACTTACCAACGCACCTGCTGCTTCCATCTCAAAGCACAGAATATTATGCTTTTTTCTCAGCCGCTCCCGAAACTTCCCATTCATGATGACCTGGTTTCCTGATCCAATAAGTCCGTAGTGAATGCGTGGTTCGTTTATTTTCCGTGCCCTTCGGCTCATCACCATGCTGTTACTGCAACTGGAGCAATCATCTCCAGACACATGATCATAATCCGCACGGTATAGGACATCATTCACTATACCAGGGTGGGAGAAATCATCCCACATTCTGGGATATTTCTCCAGTGCTTTGTTGACGGCATCTAATAACTTATTATCCTCCATCATATGCCTTGCCCTCATAACGTTAATGGCTGCCAAGGCTTTCCATGCTGGTTTCCGAAGAACTCCAGTTGTAGTGATGTCTTCGTCCAGTCCTCGCTTGCCGAGATCGTACTGAAGCACGCCAGGATACCTGGCAACTGGAGTGCTGACCACCACATCTCCTAAGCGAATATCATTGGTTTGGCTTGGTACACCACCTCCGATACCCACCAGCAAAGCGAACTGTATGGCGGGAAAGGCACGTTTCATCATGTTTGCGGCAAGGGCTGCCTGAGCGACCCCATAGCCACCGGCGGGCAAGACAGCCAACACAACGTTATGACCACCAATCTGGCCAAACTCATATTGGTTATCGTCGAACTCTGATAGGATTTCATGGTCAGATGGTTTTCCATGTCCCGTGTCTAACATGGCTTTTGCTGCCGTGAGCTCGAGCGCTAAGGCGCAGACCCAGCCCACTCGATAATCGGCGCATCGTAGTGACTGTTGGGGGCTGTATGCGCGCATAGTTGTTTCATAAGGAAATCAAACGAGAGAGAAAGAATATGAGAAGCAACTTGTATGAAAGGAAATTGAGGGTTTGTCTTTTTCTTGCGAGGGGCATTGCCGACTTTTGTATTATGTTTGTCAGTCTGCTCAATGTTGGGCCGCAAGGCAAGCCCATCCCCTTATCAGCAGTCATTGCCAGCTAGTTGCAAGTATAACTCAGCTTTACAAGTGTTCGGGCAGCTATACGTTCACAAATATGTGTCCAAGTCTGCTTTCAACTCTCGGAATCTCACGGAAAACACTCTATGGCTTCTATGCCGTTCAGAATGTATGCATGAAACAATTGAGCGATGGCGCCTGAAGCAACGGGTATGAAATGTTCTTGGGAGCTTGGTTGGCGGTCTTCAAGCTAACCCAAAAGCTTGAGCATACACTCTAGTGATTTCAGCAATGCGTGATATTTTTTTTTTTTTTTTTTTAATTGTCTTCATCTTAATCATTATTATCTTCTAAGCTTGGTCTCCGCTTCATATTGAGCAAACTTGAACCAGTACAATACTACATTGCTGATCTACAGGCCTTCTTCGTATCTTGATGAGCCACATCATAACTGCATTGGACATCTATGAACATAAAACGAGTGGAAAGCACAAAAGTTGTCACGGAAACGGTTGTGGTATGTATAAAGCGAGTATATTCGAAGAAAACCACCAACTCAACCACCTCAATCACTTGACCATACTTCCAAGGAACCATAACTGCGCTGGGACTGTCTAGATAGACCACTGTAGTTAGGTTAATCAAAAACGCTTCACAATATGTGTACGACCGGAAAAAGCTTACCTCACACCCCCCTGGCCTGACGTGAGCCCAACAAAATGTTTAGGGCGTTTTGCCCAACTCTGAGGCTAATGCTCGGCCGAAACTCTCAGCCACATATATAGCCATAGTCTGTGCTAGGTATGACATCATATACTTCTTGTAGTTGTCGTTTGACTTGTGGAAAGCTTGTAGCTTCTCGGAAGGACAGTGCCTGATCAGATGACTTTGCAATAGCTTTCGGAGAGAGTCATTCATGGCTGCCTTTTGAACTTCTGCCAAAGCATGTTCAACAATTGCTTCCTCGGGTGGTGGCATAGTGTTCGTGGAAAAGATAAGGAAGTAGAACTAGTTGAAAGATAGAATATGATTATTGGAAGGTTTTCTGAGCAATTGTTAACGTGTTGGTGCTTGGACGGAGATAAGTGAAGGTAGATTTGACCAGACTTATATAGCCTTGACTGACATATATCTACTCCGAGATCTAGGATATTCGAAAGGCAGATATTGCTGTAACCCCCTCATCATTGAACGATGTAGCCCAGAAAGGCAAGACCGCCTAACAAGCAGACAGCGTGTACGGGTACATTGCGGTCGTTGTGTCCGTACAACTATCAGATCAATGCCAGAGACCTTCAGCCTTCGAGGCTGAAGGAAATTTTGGCTTGCTTTGGTCGGGAATCGGGAGTTGGTCTAGGGCATGAAGCACATAGTAATCCCATAGGTAGTCAGCAGTTCATTGTCTGATTAGGGTACTTGGGCGTGATTGCATTGACATAGGAATACATGAAACAAACAAAAAAGTGGCAAATGGTTCACGCAGGCAGCTGATCAGAAGCGGTGTGGATTGGTGTGCCTCATACAAAAGCATCTTGCAGGAAGGCCCCTTACTGGATGGACATCAGCCGGAACATTTGCAGGCAATAATTTGCAGATTTGCACATTTGTGGACACACTGCATATCAACTGGGGGTATGCCAGCAGAATGACCGACGTGTCTTCACGCTATCAGGCCACGGAGAGCTTGCCCTTTATCTTCTTCATGCAGCGCAAGGCTGAGCGTTGTGTCTGAGTGCGTTGATTGGCCACTAGTAACAGCACTGGACTTTGCTTGCATGTAATGTTTCGGGCAGACGATAGGCAGTGATGTCATCGAGTTTCAACAAAATTCCAGATGTATTCTTCACATTAGCAGATACTGAGTCAGGCATTATCGACAGTTACAAGGGGTGAGCACATCTGGCGAACTCAACCTTCGAATCGGCCACATAAAGCCGAACATGGAGGCAGATTTGAAGAGCAGCGACCGAAACTTCCGACATCAGGCATCAAGACAGCCTGTTAGGCTCTCCCCTGAATATGTTGTCAGGAATAACTGTACTCATATTGTAGGCCGTATATCGCCATACATTGGGAATGGAAGGTTGCTTCTCCGCGGTTGTCGCGCAACGTTGGGGGGAGAATGTTATAACATGCATGATATCATAGGTGCCCCGCCGCGAGCCCCGCCCTGACCCCACCTGTCAGTTGTCGTTTGCTTCGACACTTTGTTCCATATTCATTCTTCGGCACCCAAAAACTCAGCCGCTTCTTGAGGAACGCCCTACAACCTCCAGACTAGCATGAAAGCTGGCTGTACAAGATTTGGGCTCCCCAACCCTCAGTCACGCGCACACGATATATGGCTGCCTTATCAGGGTATTGTGTGCTGGCAACCTTGCGGCGATAACATAAAAGATGTCGGGCCGAAGGCAGAAAAGATGGTCGAATACATAGAGTCCACAACTATAGCCAACACTCAAGAAACCAGTAACGATCACTTCCATTGTCAGGCCTTCAGTCATGGGTTCGGAGTACAGCGATGAGTATGAAGGGTACGAATCCTCAAGTGTTGGCGACGAGCACGAAGATACTATCAATGAGATTGTTGCCGAGGTTGTCGACCAGTTTCTCACCGAATTCAGTAGACATCTCGGAATCCAACAGCCCGAAATCTCATCATTATCGCGCTCGTTGGCGCCCAAGATACCCGAGACTGAGGAAGAGTATCGAGAGTATGTCTGGGGTTACATTGAGCATTACCTCCAGTCGTATTACCAACCCGGGGATCCATACGTGGAGGAACTAGTGAAGAGTGCGGCTGTTCGCGCCAAGGATCTCACACAAAAATACGACTTGGAACCCGGAACCACGCCAAAGTTGGCCGTCATGGCCTTATATGACTTTGTGATCCTCTGCGGTACGCTTTAGATCCCCTCAACAGATCCCTATTCCCACGCTGAGCTTCTGAGTTAGATGACAGCCGTTCAATGAAAAGGGAAAAGGGTGCTCGTATACGGGCTCTCGAAGATACTTGTCAACGTGTTGCTGAAATTGCCAGCGCTATACAAGACCAGGATGTGTATCTTCGGTTTCTGAACAACCAAGAAGATCGGCACCTGAATAAGCTGTCACCAACTGAGATCAAAAACCACATGAAGAAGGTCAGGTATTATGGGTGGACCAGACTGGGAAACGCGCTCAGAACCAAGATTGTCCAGCCTCTCATTTTCGACCCGTTGGAGAATGGCCTTTTTGCGAAGCCGGTCATTACTATCGTTGTAACAGATGGACACGTGAGTATTAACAAGTTCCTGCAAGGTTGTCTTAAGACTAACCTATACATGATCATTGTTAGCCAGATGGTGAGGATGAGAATTGCTTTGGTGAGACCATCTTGGAATGCAAAAAGAGATTGACCCAGCTTTCCAAGCAGCCAGCGGGTGCAATATTTCTCATCTCGAGGGTTGGCAATGATGCCAATGCAGAGAATTTCCTAAGTAACCTCAGGATGAACAAGGAGTTACAAGAGGTGCTCTATTGTTGTCAAGACCAGCTGGATGAGAGGCGGGAGGTGTTCCGCAGAGCTGGCGGAGATAATCAATATTCTTCGTATGTGAGTATACTCTCTCTTGCTTCTGTTGAGTATAGAAATGCGTCACGATTTCTAACTTATTGTTACAGCTGATTAAATTATTCGTCGCTGCACTGGACAGCCAGACTAAGTGAAGTAGGTCATGGTGACCTCTACCTGTTCGCATGAGAGTACATTCTTTGTAAATAATTTGAATTCAAACTGCCTTCTCGTATGTTACCGTATTTTCCTTGTACTGTATGTTTCGAGTAACAAATAAGTCAAGCAATACTAATCACCTGACGATGTATGGAAACCACGTCGGCTTCTTCTGCAGCATATGTGCAAGCAAGAACAGCGATGCTGCAGATGCAATGCAGCCGTAACTATGTCGCGAGGCCTGTGCTGCAGGAAGCTATCGCCCGAAACCACCCAATGCTAACGTAAATGTGATGAGCTGGTCTTTTAGTGTGTATGCTTAGCTGAAGGAGTAATCAATGCCAAACGGATAGTTATATCCACTCTCTGGAGTTATCTATCTATCTATCTATATCCACACTCTAGACATCAGAATATGAGTATGATGACAAAACTTACATACTGAAATAATTTTCTCTGATGACATCATAGTCTTTATATGTGTTATCCTTTTTTTTATTACAGCTATGTTATAACACGAAAATTCATAAGAAATACGTAGTGAACAATCGTCTATTAAGCTGACATTATGCACTTCACTCTGACACTCCTAGTCAGGGAGAATGTGTCTAGCTTGCTGAGCACTGGCACTTCTCCATTTAGCAAAATTCGTGTCGATGATAACATGCGATCATACAATCTAATGAACTACAATGACCTAACGGACCATTCCGAACCTTCACCTTAGCACAATAAGCAGATACCATAATTGTTACATTCAAATTACATAGTAAGAACACCCCAGTCTGAACGTATTTTTGGTCTGTACGACAGGGAATTGCCGCGATCTAGAACCAAAGCTTGTCTCACCTACAATTTATCTCAAGGCTGGCTCAGTAGGTGTCATCGCACACCTCTTATCTCGCTGCAACTCACACAAGACCATCAACATATTGACTGACAACCTACTGATCTGCTTTCTACGTTTTGAATGATGTCTGTAACCATCCACTCGCAAGTTGTCGATCTTGACTGCCTAATACCTAGAGTCGTTGACCGCGAACGCGAAGGTATCTACTGCAGACTTTTTCTTTTTTCTTTTTTTTTCAAAATCCAAATACGCTCTGCTAACGCATGCATCAGATGAAGATGTCCAACAACTCATCCCCTGGGTCTTCCAACAATCAAACCTTATGGACCGGGACTGTACACAGAGCTGGCCAGAAGAAGAGCTTCTCTTCAAGACCTTGTTCGCTCAACTCGTCGCCTATATAGAGGAGCAAGAACATGGAAATATGATTTCAGAAATCTTGTGCAAGGCGACGGGGATAACAAATATTCTGAAACCCAGCGAGACAATCACGTTACCTAGGAAAAGCTGGAGGGTTGGTGACAGGTCGACGCATGTGCAGTTCCTCCACACGCAGAGCCATGTTTTTGGGGACTTGATGCGAAGCATCTATCGTAGACTTGAGGATGTGGATGATGAAGCACCGAGGCTCGGGTAAGTGATACATACACTCTATATTGGATGGGTATAGTTAGCGTGGTGATAACATATCTCCAGTGCCTTGCCATTCCCACGGGATGTGAAATATGTAGTGGGCAGGATGCAATATGCTGCCCGATTAGAGGGGGATGTTCATGTTGGGACTCAAGCTGAATTTATACCGATAGTCTCTTTTACCGGGGTAGGTTTATTGGTTACTCCTTTTGGAAAGGCGGCTCTCTAATGGAGTACAGTGGTACAAGGGACAAACTTGGAACGATCTCTTGACAGATACAATTTGCACTATGCTGGGACATCTGACCATGAATCTAACACATAGTTCACATGGCGGGGTCCAAAGCCAGGAAGTCTTTGTTGTTGGTCTCCATGGACCCTATCTTCATATATGCCGGGCATTCTTTCCGCGAGATCGAATTGCTAGGGTATATCAACATGGATACTCGGATGAGGAGGAGTTTGATTTGGAGTTTACGCAGGGATATAACCTATATCTGAAAGAAGATTGGCTTGAAGCTACACGTGCATTGAGCAGATTGCTTCGATATCTTCTTAGTGGAAAGGCAATGGTTGCGGCTGTGCACAGAAAGGATTAAGATGGATGGGGAGGTGATGTTTGGTGTCATTAGATAGATTGGCTGGTTTGAAAAGAATCAAGCTGCAACTGCGATAGATAACGTTCCACGCCAGTGACTTGCATTGCCTCGCAGGTTCTCTAGCAAAGCGGAAGTATTTATCGTACATGCCGACCGGAGGCACCCAAGAGCGAGCAGCAACGCAATGATGGCGTGATGATAGCAAAGCTTCTTGAGCCAACGACATGGCTACTCAACTTTTGTCTTCAATCCGCCTCTGCTTGCTCATTGACTAGTAAGTAATCGAGATCTGGGGTGAAGCGAGCACACCTGTGAGATCTCATAATGCTTGTGGGACTGCTGGCCCGCCCAGGTGTGAGATGTGAGATGCGGACCACCAAGACGTAAGCATAAGCACTAGTAAGTCAGTACTCTCAGCACCCAATCAGTGATCACATATCTGAAATGCCAAAGTCAACTAGTCCTACATAAGTATTTGAGGTGCAGATAATCCTTCCCACTGCACCAGGCTGTTCATGCATGCTGGAAGCCTGGAACACACCGCCCAGTCGCATTGCCTTGTCCCCCATTCTTGACATTTGAAAAGGGCCCCCAATCCAGGCCCCGCCAACAGAGGGGACATTGCCAGATGATTAGCAGCAATCAGCCGCATTTAAATGATCCCACCCACCCATCAATCATGATTCATCCAGCTCTGCATCCGTAGCAATGGCGCTCAACGTCTCGGTCTACGCGACCGTCGTAACGGTCCTGCTGGTACAATATTCCCTAGGCCTTCAACTCCCTATTAATGATTATGAACTAATCCCGTTCCAGCTGCCCGTTCTTCTAGCAATAAAACGGCTCTACTTCCATCCTCTCTCCCGCTACAATGGCCCACAACTCTGGGCGCTAACGCGACTCCCTTATATGCTCGCCTTTCGGTCGGGTCGGCTGGCTCACGACATCAAAAGATTCCATGACATATATGGCGATACTGTCCGCGTAGCCCCGGATGAGTTGTCATTCTTGGATCCCGACTGCATAAAAGACATCTACAGCCGTCGGCCCACCAACCCACATTATAAGACGCTACCCAAGGATCCAATCCGCCAAAAGCCTCCACAACCCGGGCAGCCCGGCGACATTCTAGATGTGGAAGATGAAGACCACTCGCGCATTCGGAAAGCCTATGCTCCCGCATTTAGTCCACAGGCCTTGAACGCCCAAAAGCCACTAGTAACTTCATACGTCTCGAACATGATTGCTCAGCTAAAGTCGCGGGCAAACAGCTCCGACCCATCGAGGAGAATAGTTGACCTTCAGCGATGGATCACTTACTGCACATTTGATATCATCTGCTCACTGAGCTTCGGGGAAGATTTCGGCTGCCTTGACAATGATAGTTACCACGAATGGGTCGGGATGGTGGTTAATTCCGTGAAAGGCAAAGTGCAGATTGCGGCTTTTCGCTTCTATCCATGGCTCTTTAACTACCTAGTTAAGAGCTTACCGAAATCTGCCCAATTGATGGTGGAAAGGCATCAGGCCATGACTAATGAGAAGGTCCAGAAGCGTTTACATACAGCAGTAGACCGACCGGATTTCTTCTCATACCTTCTCAAGTCGAAGAATGAGCTTACAGAACCCGAGATGGAAATTAACGCGGGCACCTTTATCTTCGCAGGAAGCCATACACTCCAGTCCTCACTCACGGGGATCCTGTTCCATTTACTGAAGAACCCCGAAGCCCTGGCCAGGGTAACAGAAGAGGTCCGAAGTAGTTTCCCCGACGAGAAGGATTTGGATGCGAACAAGCTATCGAAATTACCAATCTTGGATGCAGCCATCAAGGAGGGTATCCGACTAACCGCGCCTGTGCCGCTTGGAATTACAAGACTTATTCCCAGTGGGGGACATACCGTCTGTGGAGAATTCTTCCCCGGGGGTGTAAGTGTCCATGAACGCTTCTGAGAACCCCTCGAACACAAAAGCTAATGCACCCAACTATACAGACCAAAGTATCATACAACTCATGGGCTGCAGGCCTATCCCCCCGAAACTTTTCCGACCCTACCAATTTCCATCTGGAGCGCTGGCTGAACCCCGATGAGGGTCGCTTCGCAAACGATCGGCGCTCTGCGATACAACCATTCCTGCAGGGGCCGCGGGACTGTATTGGACAGAATCTGGCACGGTTGGAGATGTCACTCGTAATCGGATATCTGATTTATCACTTCAATTTCGTATTGCCGAAGGGACGAGATGCTCTGGGTGAGTGGGAGGATCAGGAGACTTATGCTGTGTGGATGAAGTCGCCACTTATGGTGGAGTTGGTTGCGCGTTGATTTTATCTCAAGACAAGATGCTAGCAGGAGCGGAATTGAATGGAATGACATGTTGGGTTCATGGATCGCAGGGTGGACTTGACTTGGTTGTGTAACATGCTTTTACGAAGACTATGTAACTCTGTTTGCAGCTCATCATCGGGTCGCAGCTCATCATGGTCTGAAAAATGGTGAGCGTGGTCTAATATTCTGCTTTAGAACCACGCTGAAGTCAAGTTCAGACCACACCGAGGTATTTTCAGATCATGAAGAGCCTGAATTCTGAGAATCGATAAATAATTGCCTGATAGAAGAAGCCTAATCTACACCCTAACTACTTTTTTTCTTTCCAATCACATGCACCTTAAACTCCCCTGAAACTCTTGAAATGGGGAGGGGGATTCGGTATAGTAGCGGGTGACTGGGATTGATTTATAAACGCCCTTTAGAACATGGTTGACGTATTTGGAGACCATGTTGAGCTTCAACCCGAACTAGCCTCGAGTCATGAATGAGTGAAACTGAGCCACCGACTCCATGAATACCAATGGAGGAAAGACCACGCCGCCAGTAACATTGTCTCCCTTCTTGGTCTTAACGCCTGATATACTAGTTCGCACATATAGATGCAGCAGAGGGCTTTCAGCATACATGCTTCGTGTTGTATGCCAGACTGTTAGGAAATTATCTGAGAAACTCCAACAACAGTGGCTCTCGGATGACTGACGAACGGGTGTTTTCAAGAAGATAGGATAGTCTGGTTCCATAGCATGTGACCGTGAAGATACCTCGATCCAATCTTCCTACGAAGATGGACTGGACGACTGGGCGTTATGACTTCCGCTTTATAGCTTCCCAAGCCCATACGAGCTCTGGCCCAGGAGCTGGTCCCGAACGATACAAAGCGGTATTCACCAAAAACGCACCCCATCCATCCAACCACCAATTCTCAGCCATCAGCTCAAGTGCAACACCATAATGAGCAAGTACCACCAGTGCTGTGGGATGGTTTGCCTGTAACAAATCCAAATACTTCGCATTTATCACGGCAGGCCATCTCATCATAATGGAAGGGGCTGGGTTTGCTACGCCGATTGCCTGTTGCAGCAGATCAAGGAACTTTTGAACGGATTCTTCAATCACTAGGCTCTCGCTATCGTAGCATTCCGGCCGAGAAGGTCGTCTCAGATTGTCATATATGTCCGATATGCGAGCATACAGTTCCCGCGCATGCGCGGTGTTCGATTCTTCACGCGGCTGCTCGCCGAGTTTTAGTAAATCTCTCATACCGCCTGCTTCAATCCATGGGCGAGCCTGTCCCACTATTGAAGCCACTCCCCGAATTAACATGAAGACCTCAAGAACAGCTGACAGATGCTGAGCTCCTGGGTCGACCTTTGGTCCATGCGCAGCAAACGAAAACATGACGACGAAACATGCAAACGCGAACAAAGCATGACAGTTTCCCGAAGTCACATTGTTTAAAAGAGGCTTACACAAAGATAGCGAATGGTTGTTGTGTGTCATGGCGGCCTCAGTGTACTTGTGTCTTCTGTCGACAGGGCCATGGTGACTTAGGTGAAGTGCAGATAGAGCCAATAGACTGTGCATTAAGAACGGATGCGATAGAGCCTCCTGTGGGACAAATTCCCGCAGAACCTTCTCTGTGGATTTGTCGTGCACCAATGTCCGCACGGTCGCCACGTGCCAGTGATTCAGGAGCTCCAAATCCAGCAGTGGGAGCTGGAAGCTGTCGTTTCTCGGAATGAGATCGACACGGGTCCTAGGGGCAGCAAAGTCGTGATGCAATGTTTGGGGGGTGAATTCGCCCTCGAATGAGCATCTGATGTGCTTCTTATGGCACGAGCTGCAAATAGGTCGAAACTCGTCGCATTTTATCCGACGGTGTTTGCACTGGGCACAGCCGTGATGGGATTTGGTATGAGACCGTCGAGATGGCATGCCATTTACCTAATCTCCCTAGACCATGCAGATAGCAACCGTCGCTCTGTGCCGATACGGTGCAGCTGTGTGAAGCGAATTCTGGGTAATTCCCAGCGTCTCGGCATTTCGGCCTAAGGTATCAACTCAAGCCGTAAACTATCCTTTTTTGGGAATGGTTTTCGAAGCGGCATCGGAACCAATCCTTCGCAGCTAATCAGCAACTGCCTTTAGTTCCACCCATCTATTCTTGTTTCCCTGGCTGTGAGATGAACGGTCTGCATAACCACGGAAGCGCAGCAACGATCATCGATATATCCAAGTCGCTGGCTAATAAGGATTCGATCTCAACCGAACTTCAATGACTAAGCGTATAGCCTGCAGAAACTATGCTCAGATCGGGGACGCGTCCAGTGGGACTTGAGGGCCTTTGCTATCTCTTGGATAACGTTTCTCTTTCTGAAAAGGGCATAGTTTTCGAATGGATGATTATGTCCACATCATGCCGAAATGATGCCTTTTAAAGCTGGCCTGCCCGTGCCCCAGACTTCTCCGCGCTGAACTGCATATTTTTGTCAAAAGGAAACGTGTGAAGCAGTCCAGGGAGAGGGGACTCAAGCCGATCCAAATGGGGCTTGTAATTCGTTCCGGCTTTGAATACTACTATTATTACCCGTCTCTAGCAGCGGCGGTGATATTCATCATCTGTTTCGTGCTAACCACGCTCTTGCACACGTTCCAGCTCATCCGGACGAAAACATGGTTCTTCATACCGTTTCTCATTGGGGGATACTGTAAGCAAGATGAACTGCATACAAGGATACTGAGAAATTCTAACGTGATTCACTGCAGTTGAGTTTGTAGGCTACTGCGCCCGTGCCGTCTCTTGCAACCAATCACCCAATTGGACACTGGGCCCTTTTCTGATCAACTCACTGCTACCTCTGGTTGCGCCTGCTCTCTTTGCGGCTAGCATATATATGGAATTGGGGAGGTTGATCGTTGTTCTCCATGCTCAGAATCTCAGTCTCATTCGAGTGAAATGGTTAACCAAGATCTTCGTCGCCGGTGACGTTCTATCATTTCTTCTTCAAGCCGGAGGTAGGATCATTTTAGTTGGGGATGCCACAAACACCTGCTAAAGTTTCAATCCTTCTACCTACAGGAGCTGGTCTCATGGGTACTCACTCTCAAAGCGGTGCTCAAAACGGCTCGCATATCATTGTTGTCGGTCTCGTGGTCCAGATTGTTTTCTTCGGTTTTTTCATCATCACCACCGCAATTTTCCACCGTCGCATGCTACAAAGTCCGACGCCGTACTCCCTTGAGATAAACTGGAAGAAGCTTATCTGGGTGTTGTACTCAGCTAGCGTGCTCATCCTTGTGCGGTCGATTTACCGTCTCATCGAGTATATCGAAGGGTTCGGAGGATATTTGCTTTCTCATGAGGCGTATCTTTATGTATTTGACGCTTTGCTTATGTTTGCGGTCATGCTGATATTCCATGTCGTCCACCCGAGCGAGCTTAATGCTTGGTTGAAGTCAGGCGGACTAGTTAGCAAAGGGTTTCGCTTTGAAAGGCTGAACGGGAACGCGATACCCATCAGCTGATACTACCTTTATTATACACTTGTTTTCCGCTATTCACATATTTTGCTGCTCAAGGTGATTACGGTCTCATCCTAACCAGATTTCGTGTAGTGACAGGTTTGTGTTGGTCCACAACGCTGCAGCAAGAATTGTATTCATTCAGTGCTGCTGCATATAATGCATGCTGTCATATCAAACAAACTCGGCTACATGTGTTTCACTTAAGAGTCAGCTGATCAGAACAACCTTAAAGCACTAGATGTCAAATGCGACAACCACCCCCTTCACTTACACTTGTGTTACGCCATTCCCGCCTGGGAAAATGAAACGACTCTGGTTAAAGCAGTAAGTATTATGCTTATATTTCCCAGCATGCTTTATTTCAATCTATGATCCCTTTGCTAACCAGTCGTGCATTCCGATCCAGAGCGTCGATTATATCGCGAATGTCGTCATCTGTAGTCTGTGGGTTGATTGTACACATACGAAGGCAGACAACCCCGCGAATGCGGGTGGTGAGCACGACTGCGATGTTCTGAGCCGCCATTCTTTGGGATACAAGGCTGTTAATCTCATCGATGGCCTCTGCACTCTTTCCAGGCGGATTGAAACGGAAGTTGATAACAGCCATGTTACTAGGTGTGACGATTTCCCACTCGCTGAGCTTACTCAGCTCAGTCTGAACGAGATCCGAAAGTTCGAATCCACGCAGAGTCATCCGGTCAATCATATCCGTCCCGAGAATTTGCAGGGAGAACCAAAGCCTCATGTGACGAGCTGGTCGTGTCAATTCGATCCCGAAGTTGAAGGGATTTTCAACATAGCCGTCTTCGACATCACGTAAGAAGTGCGCGGTTGTGGCGAAACTCTCCCTTGGATGGGACTTGTCCTTGAAAAGGACAACACTACAGCCGTAGGTTTGGAAAAACCACTTGTGAGGATCCCAAGCAATGCTGTCAGCGCGGCCGATACCTTGCAGAAGGTTCCTGCGCGATTCGCAGAAAGCGACTGATCCTCCATACGCAGCGTCGACGTGCATCCACATTCCGTGCTCTGCGGCTATGTCTGCAATCGCATCAAGGGGATCAATACTCCCAGTACTGGTCGAGCCGCAGGTTGTGATTACCACATACGGCTTTGAACCGTTTTCGATGTCCTGGGTAATAGCCCGTCGAAGACTCTCCGGATCCATTTGAAATCCGGCATTACAGGGCACCGACCTTATCTGATGCTTTAAAAGGCCCGTTATACGGAGCGCTTTTGCTATACAGAAGTGTGTCTCCTCTGTCACATATGCTGTTGCTTTTGTGCGCATGTGATCTTCCACAAGCTGGTCCCGTGCAACAGTCAATGCAGTAAGGCAAGCAAGGGAGGCACCAGACACAAACTGTCCCCCTGCTGATGGAGGCAGTCCAAACTTTTCGGCTACCCAGCGAATGATGGATTCTTCTACCGCGCAAATCCCGGAACCCGACTCCGAACTCCCTGCGTAATTGTTGAAGGCGGTCGAAATGACATCCCCCAGCCATGATAGAGGAGAGGCTGCCGAGGGTACAAAGGCGTAGAATCTTGGGTGATTGACGTTGAATCGATAGGAGAGAATATCTTCGAACTCTTTCACAACATCTTCCAGTGACCTCCCTTGGTCAGGCGGAGACGACTTCAACAATTTGACCAGCTGCTCTTTTGTGGGACGTTTGACCAAGGTTGCTTGATCAGATAGAAATTTGTCGCCGACAATGCCTGAAAGCCCTTGGAGTGCTTCTCTCACGATTCCGTCCATAGCGAAAATGGCGAAGGGCCACTAAAACTGGATGTGGCAAGATCTAGGGATCAATGTAGCCCGGTTTCAATATAATAACTGCGCTATGCAATCTTGGATGGCCTTTATCGCCAATACTCGCGGGAAATAGACAATTTTTCTTGGTTTTATACTGCACCATGATACCAGGGGCCCATCACCACTAGATACGCAGGAAACGCTAATGCGAGCAGCCGCATCGTGAAAATCATGGGTGTCCACTGGCACATTCCACCCTTCAGCTAGGAACTGCCTATCATTTGCAGGATATTGTGCGTTTTCTGTGCCGGCAAAAGTATAGTGTTGACCTCTGTCGCCTCTGGAAAGCAAGGTTAGTTGGTTAAGGTTCGGCGAGATGTCCGACTATCAAGGTTCCTCTTGGCATAACTTGGTCATTTGAGTCAGGCTTCAACAGGTTACCGAGAGGCTTTCAGGTCATTATGTGAAATATCAGGGATAAATAGGCTAATTTAACCACGAGCAGGTCACTGATTGTAAACGCGCCTGTCGAACGGTGCTCGAATATGCTCTGCGGGTTGGAGAGTACCACGACGCCTTCTTGTCCTTCTCACCTCACTGTGTCTAGGGGGTCGCAGGCTTTTTTTTTTTTTTTTTTTTTTTTTTTTTCTTTTATCCCGTTCTCATATAATTATTCCTGTATTTAGCAACACGCATAATACTTTACCAACTGGGCTTTGATTTGCATAGCTTGGATGATGAAAATGATGGGTTGTGTAATACTTGTGCAACCACCCCTTGCAATGAAATATATCACCAACCTTTATGCTGGAAATGATGATCACAAAAAGCCTACTGTTAGTAGTAGGTATCTACACCCCTCGCACAAAGTAAGCTTGGTAGGGTGGCCTGATGATCTAGGTACCGTAGAAACTAATAAAATCTGAATTGTACACGTCAGGTCAGATGGTCGAGGTTGTGCCATGATACTGTGTGTTGCGGATGACGATCGTCGTGGAGGATTGCTTACTACATGAACTGTTAGGGTATGTTTCAAAATATGAAAACTCTTTTCAATCAAGTAGCATCATTGGTCTAGTGGTAGAATTCATCGTTGCCATCGATGAGGCCCGTGTTCGATTCACGGATGATGCATTGTGATTTCTTTTTTGGGTTTCTTTTATCAACCTTACTGTACCCGGCTTACTGGACGAATGGACCCATTCTTTTTTTCCCCCACCCTTCTATCTTATCCGTGATTGTTTCTTATCATAGGGCATTCAATATTCTTCATTCTTGAGTTACTTCCCAATTGATAACTGTACTGTCTCGTCCTCGAATGCGAGATACACCATCACACTTCAACATCTCAATAGACTCCTGTTGAATGTTATTGATGCCTAGCATACTAAGACACTGGCCTGTGTAACATTCCACGCCCTTTACACAAGGGACTCGTTTGACACTTGTCATGCCATGCACAAGAGTCTATCCGAAAACGCGATCGGCAAGCCATCATGTGTACCACAAGACTGGAAATCCTAGAGAGAACCGGTAGTCGTTTCCGAGGAGTGATTGAAGCGATGTCACTCGGTCGGGTGGCCCGGGTGACTTGATGGCTTTTCAATGGTTTGGTATCTTCATGGACAAAAGATACTTGCACAAGGTCACTGAATACATGAAGTGAGTATGTCATATTGATTGCTATACTATTTAATTGCTCAGCATGACGCGAGCCAGGCGCATATATCTGTAAAATGGCCTCATCCAGAAGTGGCGCGCCATGTGGTGATATAATTCGAGCATCTGCACATGACGAAAGTAGCACTTGGATTTGCGTCAAGTTGGCGAGAGCTGCTCATCATGATAGTATTGATCCTACACCTGCAACACCAACGAGAGGGTGGACACAGCATATCTTGCTCTCCGACCGGCGTTTCGAAAAGGTGTATAAGGAGATTCCTGTTAATGTGAATAGCTACAGCAATGCAGCATATTTATCAGATTGAAGTGGGGTCTTTCCAAACTCCAACCTCTTTTCATCAGATAAGATAGATAGTAAGTTGTCTACTGAATCGATGAAAGAGGGGTTTTATTCCCGTCACATAGGTGTTAGCTGATGCTGGGATGATGGCCGCTGACGTTCCTACCACTGTCCGACACTCTTTTATCCCCTCATATTCCCCCACTCGCTTTCACACCACTTCTCTGCTATCATTGGCAAAGCTCCCTCCGGATACCTGACAGAATAATCAGGCGAGGGCTATGATGTCTAATAATAAGGAGAGCTCTCATGCCACCGAGACTCCCGCTTCGGCTCATGACGCGCAAGGTCCTGGCGTAGGACTTGGAAGTCCAGGCGTCCAGCGGATCGAGGCTCTTTCATCCCACCTACATATCCTCGACCGTGTGTTTCTATTCTGTGGCGTTTTCCTTATTGCCTATGTTTACGGCCTCGATAGTCTATTGCGTGGCACTTATCAGGTTGGCCTCCGCCAGCATGCTCACCGAACTATCAATGCTCATGGTCCGCTAGCCATACGCTACAGCGTCATATGAATCACATAGTGTGTTGTCGAGTGTCGATATCCTTCGAGCCGTCATTGCAGCAGCAGCGCAGGTTTGTGGCCCCTATTTCTCCAATTCAGCAACTAACCTAATCTACTATACAGCCGACTGCAGCTAAGATCGCCGATGTTTTTGGGAGAGTGGAATTGATTTTGGTCTCGATATTTTTCTACACCCTTGGTACTGATTGCAATTCATCCTGAGTTGGGGTGTTCTAACACTAAATTAGGCACCATTGTTGAGGCGTCTTCGAGTACGGTTGAGCAGTTTGCTGCGGGAGCTGTGCTTTACCAGGTGAGTTGAGTCCTACTTGGCTAAACAGATACTGCTACGCTTTGACTAACAATGTGGTGTATGATAGATTGGTTACACGGCTATTATCCTGCTGGTTGAGGTTCTGGTTGCAGATGTCACGTCGCTTCGCTCCCGTCTGTTGTTCTCATATATTCCAACACTTCCATTTTTAGTAAGTTGGACAGATTGGAATCAAATGAAGTATTTGAACCCAGCTGATGCCGGTAGATCAACACTTGGATTAGTGGAAACATAACTGGGGCCGTGCTGAAAGTGACTACATGGCGCTGGGGAATCGGCATGTTTGCGATAATCTATCCTAGTGAGTATATCCCCGCACGAGTCAGTCAATATCTGACAGGTTTCAGTCTGCACGCTCCCTCTTCTCATGGTACTTTACATTGTGTACCACAGAGCCAAGAAGGATGGTACAATGGATCATATCGCAGGCGCCTTTCGCACGTTGGGTGTTCGGCGACTGGCGATTGAGTTGTTTTGGCAACTGGACGTGATTGGTATTATCCTGATGATCGCTTTTCTTGCCATGATTCTGGTACCTCTCACGATAGCCGGCGGCCTGGACTCTCAGTGGAAGAAAGCAAGGATCATCGTTCCTCTCGTTTTGGGGCTGTGTTGTATTCCCGCATGGGTCATTTGGGAGAGAGCCTGCAAGCATCCTATGGTCCCATTTAAGGTAGGCAGCTAGTATATGGTCTGGGAGTTTCTGATACTAACGGGTCTATAGCTTCTAAAGGATAGAGCGGTCTGGGGTGCCTTGGGAATTGCTGTCATGTTGAACACCGGTAAGCAGGAGCATATACTTCCAGTACTCCGTCTAACGAGGTGCAGCATGGGCTCTTCAAAATGAATATCTATACACCGTTCTCATTGTTAGCTTTGGTGAGAGTATTACAAGCGCAACGAGGATAAGGTCCCTTTATAGGTAAGCTGGTGGAGCTCTGCTCTGCATAGACGTCAAACTTATCCTTCACAGCTTTGCCAGTGTTCTCACTGGATCCATTCTAGGCCTTGTAGTCTACAAGGCCAGGCGACTCAAGCCATTCATCGTTGGAGGTACATTGTTGTTCATGGTGGCCTATGGTATTCTGATCTACTACCGCGGAGGGCCCACATCGTCCAGTCATTCGGGGATAATTGGCGCCCAGATTCTTTTGGGGATTGGTAAGTCCAGATACACCAATTGGGAGTTTGATTTTCTGACGAGTATGTTTAGCTGGAGGATTGTTTCCCTATCCTGCGCAAGCCAGCATCCAAGCTGCCACCAAGCATGAGCGTGAGTTCCCTATTATCTTCTCTTCGACTACTACTGACGTCAGAAAGACTTGGCCGTTGTCACCGGATTATTTCTAGCCTGTTACAATATCGGCACCGCAATCGGAGGAAGCATTTCTGGAGCCGTCTGGACCCAAGTTCTTCCCGGAGAGCTAAACAGTAGACTCAGTAACGCCACAATGGCAGCTCAAGCATATAAGGATCCGTTCACATTCAGTGCTACTTACCCAATTGGGACTCCGGAGCGTGATGCTGTGGTAGCTGCTTACAAGCATACGCAGAGGCTGTTGTGCATTACCGGCATTTGCTTGACCGTGCCGCTGGTTGCATTTTCTCTCTGCACCCGCAACTTGGTTTTGACGAAAGAGCAAAGTTTTGCACATGCGGAAGAGGATACTGATGAAGCTTGATCGGCTATGACAACATACTAGTGCGGGGTCATAGATGCTACTTTGAACTTGTAGCAGGGAGCTGTGATTGCTTAGAAGCATAGTGCTTATTGATGATATCCTGTTGCCTCAATTGCTTATTGAACCATGGAAATCAGAAACACACCATATTTTCATAACATGTGACCACAGAGTAATTGGATGAATCAGACACGTATCGTACGATTGTTGCGACTAGAACTGGCTCAACTCGTTGAATTACAGGTTCGCAACTCCGTTAGTCAGCCACCTTCCATGAAAACCTGGTCAACTGGTTGCTGTGATCTGTGAAAAAAAAACCACCACATACGCGCTCACTTGGACGTGTACCAGAGAATCAGAGAAGTTGTGTCTCATATGGGGGTGATGTCAAGTTGAAGTATTACAACTCATTAGAATGTGAAGATAACTCTACCTTAAGTAGCATGAGATCAGAAAGAGATGTTCTCATCCCATTACCTCTAGACTGATGGTTTGCTACTCTGTCTTTCAATTCTACTTGACTTCGACTTCAGTCCTGCTCACACATACTTTAGTCCTGCTTCGGACCAAATCATAGGATACTCAGTGATCATGCCTGTCGACTTCGATGCTATCTGGGAGGACCTTCTTGCAGATTTGAAGACACTCCCCGCTATCTCGTTTGATGGATTTGCCCGCCGAATTCATTTCCGAGCTCGCTGGAATAGTGACTTCAATAGTCTGAGGAAGTACATTGACACTGACCAGCCATACCCTGCTGGCGATGAAAGTCACAACCAGGAGCTTGATGGCATGGACACGGGATATGACTTCAGCAGGCTGGGGAATTGGTTCCTTGCTACCGAATTCATAGGTATTGATGATGATGGCTATTGGCAGATGGCTATGGCAGCGCAACTTGCACCGGTCAGTCCATTACTTCATTATGGCTGTGAAATGCTTCAGCAATAGCTAACATAGAGCCCACTAATCTCAGTACCTTATCTATCCCATTTTTACCCCAGAAGTACTCCGCGGTCTCATGTCGATGTGTCTTGCCGAGCATCTCAATAGTAAATTCAAAAGCAATGGTCATCCTAGCCTCATGGAGCTAGCAAACACTACCGGCTTCGCGGACTACTTCATCAACAGAATACAAACCAAATCTTTCATCATTAACCTTGCCTTGACTGACCCCACAAGGTCAGATCATTTGTTTAGCATTTCAACTCTTCTGGTCGCGGACTATCTGTATTACAAAACGGCTTGGCTTGACATATTTAAACTGCTCTCGAAAGACAGACCAAGCTTTAAAGCACTCCATGCCTGGTCTCTTGTGACATGGAATGAGCAAGAACGGGGAGATGGAGTGGAGACAGATAACATTGTGAAGAACTGTGGTATAGCCGCGACAATGGCATATTGTTCTGTGCTAGGCTCGCTGTCGACTTTCGATGCACTGAACTTCTTCTACAAGGCAGTAATGGCTGCGATTGATACGGATTCGTTTCCAGAACTTCGCCCGTACCTCGACAGCATCCAAGCAAGTCTGAAGAGGTTGATTGACGAAGCCGCCATCATCAACGAATTTGTAAGCTACTCCGAGAAGCTTTACACGACCTTCTACCACAACATGTCCGAGAATTGGCGTCATGGAGTACGCACCGCGTGGAGAGAACGTAATACTGGCGCTTTAACAGACTGGATCAACAAGGGTTAGGCTCGCCCATCCCGGCCTACTTTTATGTGGACACTATGGAATGAGGTTAGAGCTAACTTTAATGATATAGCTACACACTCGAATTCTAGGAATCTATCTCCGCCTATACCGGTAGAATTACAATCTCGTCTCTTATCTGGAACGAACCTGAATCTTTCTCGAAGTGAATCAAAGCAGATAGAGGCCGTTGCTAACAACAACCGATTCCTTGTGTCCGCGAAGCCGCCACGATATAGCCACGAGGGGTATGGCACCGTGGCGTCAAAGTCTCTGAAAGTGTGCTCGATCGGCTTCAGTAAGTTCCGTACATATGGATATATTTCAGCAGTATTAATTTGGCTGATGGGAGGATAGACCGTGAAGAGCCCTTCACAACACCCTCGCAAGTATTCTACACTACTACTGGACTTCGAGCGGTAGATCCAGATTCCACCAAAGCGAGTTGTCCACATGCCCATATTGGACCACTGAGAAGGGGTCATGTTCTCTATCGCCTGACTGGCAACCCCGATGACTATACGTACGAGGCGGTGGAAATAAGGTCTATAGAAGTGGGCCCTGAAACAGAACAGACCGTATACAGCGTGTCGCTGTGGGCAGGCGAGCAATCGCATCACGCGAACGGTTACCTTCTTGCCATCAATGATCCCAACGTAAGTTCAACCAAATTTTGTTACCATCTTTGATCCGTCCTTGTAACTGATTCATTAGAGAGCTGTGGAAGCCACGGCCCGTGCCCTTCGTGCCCTTCCACCGAAGAAGCGACTTTCACTTCTTGCGTCATTTCACGAGCTCAGTTCGACATTCACGAAGAACGACATTCAGGCTATCCATGAGCGACTGAGTTTTGAGCTCTATGGTAGTTATGGGAAGAGAGAGGAAGACCCTATCTCACGGTCCGAGATCTTCCCGGCCCTCGTCTCTCCTAGCGACCTGCTAAAGGCGATGAAATATAACCCTCGACAGCTACCCAATGGTATTCCTCTGGACAGGATACAAAGGAGATTTTCGTTGTTCGCAATAGGCGACGCTAACTTGCCTTCGGCATACACGCTGCCCGACTTGAGCTTCCTAGATGACTGTATTCTTATAAATGACGTGCCTCAGATCAGATGCAGGTCGAACCACCATAGCAGAACGTTTCAATGGACACGCAGAGTGCAAGAAAATATGTTTGAACATGGAGTCCTATCACTTTACTCTCACGGGCTGTCGGGCAAGGGTGTGGTACTCATTTCTACCACAGATGCACCTGAAGGCTGCTCAAAGAAGGACGTCCAAGCATTTGAGGCATTGCCCAAAAGCGTAGCAAAAAACGTCCAGCTGCTTCACGCTAAGCGGCAAGCAGGCGAAAATGAAAGCGACGATGAAGGGGAATACATACCCGTTATCACAGTCTCAATGCAATACGACAAGAACACATGGGCCCCGGATGAACCAATAGATGAACCGAAGGATCCTATGTCCGGTATGGACGTGCAATGGGGTTTTCTGTACCCACCTGATGGATCCCAGACCACAGAAACGAGAGTACCCATTCTTGACGAGCTCAGAGATCGACTAAACGAAAAATACAATCGAGAGTTTGACAGGCTTTATGATAGCTGGGAGGTAATACTGGATGACGGCAGGACCAGAGCAACCGTGGAATTTAACCTTGCAAGCGTCGTGCCTTTCATCTCCGATGCTGGAATGGACGTCAACACCTTGAATGTGAATTTCAAGTCCCAGTTGGGGATCGATATCACTCTTCCGATTCTTTTCCAGTCATTTTATATCGACTATGATGTGGACCTGCGCACAGTCAAGGGGGCCATATTTGACTACAATCCTCTGATGCGTGACACAAAAGGAGATAGGTAGGGCTAAATGTGTCATGTTTTGCTTCATGTGCTAACATATACAGGCATTACATCTGTGGGACTTCCGACATTGATGATTCCGAGATCTATGATATGCGATTGAAGACATCTAGAGCGTTTGCAGATTGTGCGAACTTGACTGCGCCGACCTCGGTCACGTCGGCCTTACAGCCAGCACATGTGACCGAACAGTTGCATCTGCTGCAAGAGCCTACTGTTGATGAACTTCTCAATCCGTATGGCTATGATGAGGTTGCAGTAGGTTAAACATGACAAACAGGATGAACGGGTTTCAGTAGCTGACCAAGTATCGCGGCACAGATTCATAACATGACTCAAATACTCATCAAATCGATGATGTTCTACCACATGGATGACGATCAGCGCGAAGATTTGACAGGCCAGGCAAAGCCCACAGATTTAGATTCGAGTTTGGCGGAAAATCTCCCGTCAGACCTGCAGAAATTTTTTCGAGAGAAGTACGCCCCGGCGTTTCTATGTCAGTCGGTGATGCGATATGAAAAGTATGAAGATAATTTCACGGAGCAGGAGAAGAAGAACATGCGGTATTGGTGGGACGGAAATGTGAGTATTATGCGACATAACAAACCTCTGATGAATGAGTGAATTCTAATGCGCTTCCATTATCTCTTGTAGGGTGACAAGTGTCTTGCAAAGTCCAAGGAATATGCAGAAATCAACCGCCGTGCTTCTGTTGAAGCCGTTCGACAATTTAATAAAGACATACTCGATAAATATCTCGACAATAACCCGACGGAATGGGCCTGCACTCTTTACGCCGCTCTGAAGGATAAGGGCCGAATGTTGACGTATCTAGCACATCCTATCCAGGGCGTAAGTTAAAGCGTTGCACTTATACTATGGCTTTCTATTGATGCGATGTTTCATTTCAGAGCGTAAATGTGATCAACCGCGAGTGCTGTATCCTTGACGCATTGGCACCATCGGAGGGAATAGCTGATCAGTGGTTCGAATACTTCGTTGGCTTCGCCAGTGAGCGCCATATTCACTATCCATACATTGATCCAGACGAGGACCTGGCTGGTCAATGGTTACATGATTCGATGAAGGATCTCATTCAACGTGTCCTTGAGGGAGATCCTTCCGTCGATGAGGATGTGCGCAAGGGGTTGGAAAAAGACATAGAAGAGTTTGAAAAGGCGAATGGACTTGATCAAACTGCAACCGCTGAGGCCAGGGCCAGCAATATCGTGGAGAAGGGGGCGGTGTTCTTTGCAGAAGCGAAGAAGTGGCTGACCGCGGTAGGCAAAGGCCTTGCGGTTGCTTTGCAAGGCACGAGGTTGTTTCAATTGGCGGAAGCTAGCTTTGAGCAGGTGACAAAAGCTATCGGTGACAGCTTGCCAGGGCTTAAGAAGCTGAAGCCAATTGCTACTATAGGAATGGTATGTCATTGTGACTCTTCGCGATCGGACCGGACCGGTAGAGCTAATCGAAGTTCACTAGGTCGCGTTTTACGTATTCCAACTTGCGTCGAGTCTCTATGGGCTGATCACAGATTGGGACACCATGGAAGACGCTAAGAAAGCTGTGGTAATTTTGGAGATGATACAAACCGTTGTGAATGGCATCAGCCAGGCTCGTGATGCCTGGAATAACTACAAAAACAGAGATACTGCCACAACTCCAGAGGACGCCTTAGATACCGCCACTCTAAACCAGGGGGTTGAGAAGTCAGTTTCTGAAAGTGGAGGCGGGCTCGCTGAGATGTCCGACGGGATTAATGGCGAAGGCACATTCAACGAGATTGTTAGCGAGCACTTGCTCCCAGAGGGCCCAGCTACCGAAGGCGACAATGCAGGACGGTGGAACGAAGGCGCCGACAAACCTCCAGAGAATATACCAGCTGGTGGGGAGGATGTAGTGTCCAAGTGGAAGGTATCTGGAAATGCTGTCAAGATCCTCAATGCTTTCTTAGGCATTGGATTAGTTATCGCAATGACCTTCAGGTCGGTTCACTCATTCCAATCCGCAGCTTACTTATCCGGTATCCACTAACAAGAAACAGTTTGGTTCAGGACTGGGATAAATTGACAACGGGAGGAAAGATCATCAACACGATCGCGCTGCTTTCGCAAACACTCACCGTGGTTTTGGATATTGTGGAAGTGGGCTCATCCATTGGACTCTATACAGTCACAGGGGTATTTGCCACAGCTTTGCCCATACTCGGGGCTGTGCTCGCGGTTCTTGGCGTTGTGATGATGCTGATCAACCTGTTTGTGAACTTGTTCGGGGGCTCTCCACCTCCCGACCCGGTGCAGGAGTTCATCGACCATGTAGCGAAAGACCTAGTTGGGGGATTTGAAAAGGCGCCTCCGCCGAAACTTGACTATACCATCCCCAGCGTCAGCTATGAATCCGGCAAAGTGACAAGCATCACCATCAAGGGCGAAAACACCACAGCCGATGAGATCAGCATCCCTAACGCACGAATCATTGTGACCAGCGGCAGCGCCGACGTCTGTCTGTTCTCTACGAATGAATTTGAACTGGTGGAGGATACAGACACCGACAAGGACTCGGATGGACATCTCTATGTGACTCCGAACAGTAAAGCCGAGGGCACCTTGTCCAGTAGCGTCCTCGGTGATGAGACGGAATACCATGAATATGATCTAGTAGTCGGAGGAAACAAGAAGGATACAGAGAACAGTTTGCACAAGCTGATCCTGCAAGCGAAGGAGAGCTTCACTGCAGTCTGGACAGGGAAGATTAACAAACGCGGTCGGAGCATGGTCGAGATCATTGAGAAATCGGATCTTGACAAATGCCATGTTCAGTACACGGTGGCGAGAATCTGAAAGTCCGAACCTGCTGCTAATGATGATTGCTTTGTTCCAGCCCACAGAATGGACTCTGGGTATTGATTATGGCGTGCTTCTTAGCGAACAGAATGAATCAAACACGGATATTCTGAATGGCTTTGATACCGACCGGCACGGGTTCATCCAAGCGACCGTATTCGTCGGCGTCTTTTGAAACTGATAATCAAAAATCCCTCAGTAATAATTGGATGCGATGTTTTCGAAGATATTGCCTCCCGGTAGTAACACACAGTCCTCTAGTGTGTGGAAGTGATGCGACCGTGAGGGAGTAGACGAAATCGAACCATCTAGAGCTGTTTAGTTAGTTCGGTTGGGCAGTCAGTAGATAACCAGTAGATAGTCAGTCAGTCAGGTGGTCGCCGGTCGGTCGGTCGGTCGGTCGGTCGGGCGGGCCAGCCAGCTAGACTAACTAGATAGCCAGTTGTCGGGAACTTGGTAGAGAGTGAGTATCTAACTAGCGTCCGGTGGGACGAGGCGAGAGCGATCGAAGGAAGAAGAAGAAGAAGAAAAATCAGGGCGAGAGCGTGATCAACAGGGGTGAGGCAGCTGCTAAGCATTCATCACACCAACACCACTACCACCAATCCACGTCGCCTGATCAGGGCGAGCGCGTAAATAGTTAAGAGCAACATCATTCATACGACAATTTTAATTATGTTGGAAGATCAGTAGTCGTCATCAATTGATCTATAATTCCATCCCACATGAGATGATCACCCCTTGAAACAATTCCAAGTGAAAGAAAACGGTCGCATGCCATTGACGACTCGTTACACAGGAATGCCCAGAACATGAGGAATTGAAGGCAGGGGGGGTGGATGTAGCATGTAGCAACCTGTTGCAAGTTTGAACTTGCAATGAAATCAAACTAAGAGGAGGTCCGGGCGGCGGAAATATCCCCGTGACAGGGAAACATTTTCTTAGCTTGGCGTGGTGGTGGTGGTAGTTGGTGCCGTGCCGGTGCCGATTTACCGCGGACTTTTGACCTTTAACTTTTTGAGTTTCATGTTAGGAAGTATAGAAGGTGTCGATTGTATGGTTCCATCTAATCAGCGGGTGATTCATGGATTAGGTATTTTTATTATTATCATTATTATTATTGATGATGATTTTACGTTCCGTTCCGTTATCCGGATTATCGTCGACCAACCAACCAACAATTGCAGGTCTACCACTCTTCTTCGTGCTTGGTTCTTGTGGTCCGTCCTGGACCATAATTCTTAATTGATCGGCAAAAAAGCAAGAGAAGGGACTAAACTAAGCATTGCTCGCTACCAGTAAATCAAGTAACGTAGGTAGTGTAGTTACTTGTGATACTCATATTAGGGGCTAGTATACATATTTTATTTTTTTTATCGTAATCTATAAGGGATGTATGTTACCTTGGCGGATATCATCATCATCATCATCAGGCCTCGTCATCATGAAGAAAGTAAATATGGAATATGGAATGAGGAACCCCTCTGACCGATTTCGTGAATATACGTGTACTTTGGTGGTGTGGAATGACGATCGCATTTGCAATATTGTTAAGGCGGTGTAAGGTGTAATGATGGGTGGTATAGTCATATGGTAGGAAGTATCTAACTAGTTAGTTTTGTAGTTACGGTGTGTGTGTGTGTCACATCTAGATCTCAAGCCAGAAAAAGAATCGGAGAATTAAACATTAGAGTTTCAGCACCGGAAAGTTCTGTCCCCTTCAGCTGCCATGGTACACACAGCTAGACGGGAAGTGAGAATAATGGGATGGAGGGGGGGTGGTTAGTAGTGAACCCGATTGCCGCCACACCTTCTCTTTCTTTTTTTTTTGCCCCCTTCTCGGTCGGGATCCCGTGTTGCAAGTTTGCAAGTTGCAACAGCACAAACTCGCATTCCTCAAAGGGGAATTGACTGGATTGGGGGTTTGGTTGGGGGTTGGAAGAGTTACGTACAACTTTTGGTAGTAGATTGTCTGGTGATCGAGACTGTTTCTATGTAAAAAAAATAATAATGATAATTGCAATGGCGAAAATCTATCAACCCAACGCGCCGATTTAACCGAGTTAGATACTACTATCATGAAGATATTGGTGGTGGTGGTGGTTATGGTGGTGGTTGGGTGTGAGTAACTAGTATCCAAGTCAAAAGTGTTGGGTAAAGGAAAAGAAAAGTTTTTCCTTCTAGACTTGAAGCAGACTCTTGTCTTCTATGCGTGATTTGATAAGGGTGGCGTTGCTTGTTAGTTAGCTAGTTACTACTTCCTTAGTAGCTTTCCCGTTTTTCGCCAGGACTAAACCCAAAGCAGAGCAAGCTAGCCACGTTCTAGTCCTTGCAATCGCCCGTTCGGATCCAAAGTGCCGTTCGGACGGTCGAATTATTTTTGGAATGGGGGCCGGGTTTACTGTTCGCATGATCAGCAGGGAAAAGAAAAAAAAAAGAAAAAAAAAAAAAGGGAAAATAACGCAAGTCAGGAACAAGGAGTCATAGAGTACGTACTACTCGCAAAGGACAAGAAAAAGTTATATAAACTCCCTTCTGGTACCGTCAATTGCGACTTGGAATTACTATCCATCCAACAAAGCAAAGCAAAGCAAAGCAAGCTTCTCTCTTCTTCTTCTACTACTACTCTCTACATCATCGCATTCCAAAACCTCTCCACACAAGTCTATCCCACATTCCTCCAAAAACAACCACAACCATCAAAATGACTATCCCTTATCCCTTGATCGGCCCTGAATCCTACGGCCTTGGCTCCAAGCAGGCTCGTCGCAACCGCAGTGCCTGCAGCACCCCTCGCAGCGTTGACAGCAACGTCATTGATGCTGCTTTCGCCAAGGAAGTCCAGTCTACCAACGCCTCCCAGGAGCATTTGGATTCTTGTGCCAGCAGCAACAAGTCTGAGAAGAAGTGGAAGGCTAGATTCTCGAGGAAGTATGTTCCATACCACTTGTCTATTTTATTCCACTTTGGGATTGATGCTAACGATAAAACTAATTAGGTTCTTCCACTTCGCTTGAACTACACCACCACACTATACACAACATTACACTACGAACGAAAACAACATAATCAACAACAATAATGAAATCGCTGGACGGAATATAGCAAAGCAAAGCAAAGCATGGGTGTTTAGATGGATTGGATTGCATAGTTGGGAGCATTGGTTTTTTTTTTCTTTTTGCATCATGTCATGATTGTTATGGATAATTTAGATATAATACTTAATTAATACCCGCGGGATATGCACGCTCTACATTTATATCTTCTTCTCCTTTCGAATATAAATTTTGGGTATTATACAAAACTTAATGATTAGCATTGACCGGAGAATAAATCCTATCCTATCCTACATATACTACTATGTGTACTATGTATGTACTCTGCAGAAACCTGTTCTGAAGAAATGAAATAATTAATTAATCAATTGATCCCTGTCATCACACGCACATCATACACACTAATCTGCTATCTACTACGAAGTAGATAGCTAGTTAGATAACCGACAGAGTGACTCAAACCGGTTTCAATTTTCTAGAACAGCCCAGACACACTTTCACAGATAACGCTAGCGACAAACTAGTCTAGCAAGTAGTAGTAGCAACCACTCACAATCCCTGAAATTTCTCCTCCCTCCCTCCCGACGCTAACGATTTTAGTCTCCCGCTCGGATAGAACGGCCCTTGCCCTTGCCCTGCCCTGCCCTGCCCTGCCACGCCACGCCACGCCACTAAAGCTACTAACTGTCTATCTACGCCACGGCGATCGGGTCAATCAGTCAATCAGTCAGATTAATCAAATCAGTGGAGAATCATGTCGGCCAATCACGGAAACTATTTATTCGATAGTTGGGATGATAGTCTGTAGGGATTTTGTTCTGGGTATGGGGGGGTTTGATCGTTTTCTGCAGGTAATCATGGTGGGGACTATTGGTGTATACTAGTTTGTGGTATGGGGATCATATTTGGGAATTTAAGGTAATTAAATTAAATGGTTTGCTAGTATCAGGGGTAGGGGTAGTAGTATAGTAGGTAGTAATTTTTAATGTGTCCATTTATCGCTGGCTTGGGAGCTAGAGCCTTAGAATCAGGGGTAGTAGAGTAGTACTTGCAAGGCGATGCTTACTGTAGTACGGAGCTGACTAGTAGTAGTAGAAGTAGAATGTAAGTGAGTGATTTACTTGCACAGCATTGATCAAGTCAGGTGGTGTTTCATCCATCCATCCCCTGAGGTAGGTACTTAGTAATTCTGTCATGCTGACTGACTGGACTGGTGAGTTTTCATGTTACACGACGGGCGATCAACTAATGTCATGTCATGTCGTGTCATGTCTGCTTTCGGGTAGTCTTATATTACTACTACTACTAATACGAGGAGAATTCATTCATATCATTCATAATTTCATTTATTCATCGTAACTGCTTCGCATCTATGTATAAGGTCGGATGATGCCACTCCTTTCCTTATAGTATAGTCACAATGACATACTCAAAAGTAAAGTTACCCATGAATCCACCCACCCACAGGGTTTACTTACTATATATATAGCAAGCAAGGCAGGCAGGCAAGCAACCAAGCAAGCAACATCAAAGTCCATGATGCCACGACCTGTGGAGACTCAGATGGGACCCTCCCTGAATATCACTGCAACCTACTTTGTAAAAACAGACCCACGGATAAAGGAGCGATCATACAGAAAGAAAGAATAAGACAGGGTGAGACTCTCGTATGTGGGTCCAGACCATAAAAAAAAAAGCTCCGATCAACCCGACCGGATTCGGTCGGTCGGTAAGTCTTGGCCATCCGGTATGACAGGATAACAAATTGCCAGACAAGCTTTCATTTCATCATCCCCATTTACCTGGAAGGAGAATCAGATGGTCCCTTACTGTCAGATCCTTTGTTACCTCCCTGACGTCTGTCTCGGGCGGATTGGCCCCAGGTACTCAGTTGGTTGATGTTCCTTGGGCTGGTGATGATGCTGGCTTTCGCTTCAGTGATCTGAGCACCGCCGCTGGTATTACCTCCGGACTTGTTGTTGTTGTTGTTGGTGGTGGAGCCGGTTCTGTCAGACATCTTGGATATATATTATACCGGTAGCAGATTGCGGTGGGGTATACTATATGTTAAGTGGTATCTTGGGTTGGACGAGTGAGATTCTCTCGAGAACAACTGTTTAGATACTGTCTGGAGGAGAGCTGGAGCTGGAGATGTCAGGGTGTGAAGACCGTTGTGAGCGATGATGCTTTTGAGATTGGTGTGATGGTTTCATGGTTTATATAGATGAGATGACTTGTTTCTTGACTTTGGGGATTGATGATTGAAAGATACTGAAGCTGCTTTCTCCGGCGACGTGAGAAATATGCATCGCTGGATTTCATCTTACAGCGGATATTGTAGAGGAGTATACCGTCAATCTGGAGAGTTAATATGAGGGATATGCATCAGTAAACTGTGATTTCTGAGAGATTCCGAACCTGTCTGGAGCAGTGTAGGAAGATGAAGAGTCCATCATAAGATATGCTTCACAAATCGAGACACGGAATGCAAATAAGCTTATGTGACTTCAATCACTGCATTTCTGGGTCATTGCCGCAATATCAATGTATATTTCTCATATCGATGCCGGAGGATTTTTTGGGGTTGGGCGATTGAAAGCTTATTATAGAATATGCAAGTAAGCTTGTATGACCTGAAAGCACTGCATCTCTGGTTTGTACCGCAATATCAGGTACGGTTAGCCCTATTAGAAAAAGAAGACATCCTTGAAACTCACTTAGCTGAAGCTTTTAACGTCTAGTCACTATGTCGGTGCCGCAACTTCTCACGCGAAACTGGCATGGCCGTGGGAGCAAGCCGTAACATCGACAGCTTGCGATCCACGAAAGAGAGACAACAAAGTGGGCGCTTTGTTGCGGAAAACAGATTTTGCAGTGGCTTCTGGAATCAGAGGATAAAGGAAAGGAAGGGAGCGAGGCTTTGTTGGTGGATGAATGGGAGGAACAATCAGAAGAAAGAGGAGAAAGAAACGATGCGGATGAACGTGACGTGACAATGGGCTCGTGAGTTGCCAAAAGAAAAATTACGAACTGAGTTTCTTATCGGAGTTTACATGATGATGAAATGCATCTTATTCCAGGATTATTTGTAGCTTTGGGCATGTTCCCGACAGTTTGGATGATATCCTGCTTGTGAGTTTGCTCAAAGTAAAGTCATAGTCATTTGTAAGTATGATGGTATGTCTATTGTCTATTGTCTAGAATGCTAACACTATACCCATAGTGACTGTCTAATTATACTGATCTCTGGCCCCCTCCACGCCTTCCACGGCCCTGCCGCGGGCACTCTTCTGCCTCTTCTCAAAACCACTGCCATCGCCTGGCCCGCCAATACTGGCATCGCGTTTGCCACCAGGACGACCACGCGGCGCAAAAGACGAGCCTCGAACCGAGTCACCTCCGTGTCCATAGTTGAATCCGGGAATACCCTTCAACCCCATCTTGCCAACGATCTTTTTGTCGATGACAGGGGGTTCAGGGCATGCCATGCCTTGGATAGCCATCTCGTTGGCCATCTGAACAAGACCCGGTTTGTCGAGACGAAGCTGCTTCAGGAGACCTGAACCAGCAAAGAAACCGATGAAAGATGAGTAGGCGCGTTGCTTCTTCTCTTCGTCAATCGTGTACATAGCCTCCGCGACGGTCTCTGCATACGAGGCAGCTCCCTCGATGATGGCGTCGGTCTGGGGATGGGGCTGGATGGGCAAGTGGCGATTGTTCCTCAGGAAGAAGGTCTCCGCTTCGGTAAGGAGGATGATGGCGCGACCATCATTGCCAGCACGGGCTGTACGGCCAACACGGTGAACGTACTGTTCGCCGTTGGTCGGCAAGCCAACCTGGATGACCAAGTCGACGTTGGGGAAATCCATGCCCCGACCAATGACATCGGACGCGAAGAGGATTCCGGCAGCCGCTTCCTTGAATTGAGCGGTAGTCTTGGTGCGAGCGCTCTGACTGAGTCGGGAGTGAATCTCAAACACACTCAACTTCGTCAAGCCCCGAGAAAAGGCAGCTGCGAAGAGACTGACCATGTTTGCCGTGACGCCAAAAACGATGATTTTCGAACTGGTCTTCGTTTCCAACTGAAGAAGGGAGGCAAGAGTGGTAAAAGAATCTGCCACAGACGGCATCAGCACATGATACTGGGGAACTCTCTCATGCGTTGGGGTTTCGTTTTCATCAATAGTAGAAATGCTACTGTAGCCTGGCTTGAGCACAACACTGACCACATCCCTGACTTTGGGAGGAAGAGTGGCAGAGAAGCACATTCCCTGCCATCCAGCGCTTTTGGGGGGAATGTGTCGGATAATGTGCTTCACATCAGCTAGGAAGCCACTCTCGAGCATCGTATCAGCCTCGTCCAGAATCAAGGTCCGGATGTTAGACAGCTTGATGGCCGCCTCGGGCTCGGACAGGTAATCTTTCAACCGTCCTGGAGTTGCTACAAGAACAGAGGGAGCCTCTTTCATGAAGCGCGAAAATGCAGAAGCCCGAGCGGTTCCACCAACAGCAATGTCGCATTTCAGAGGTACTGCCATTTGCGATGTCAGTTGATCACATGACTTGGCAATCTGCTGGGCCAGTTCACGCGTAGGGGTAACGATCAAGGTGGCGACCTGCCCTCTAGGCGGTGCCATAGAGGGATCAAGAAGACAGTGCAATGTAGGTAGCAGGAAGGCCAGCGTTTTGCCGGTACCAGTCTTAGCCTGGACGAGGCAGTCACTGCGCCAATCTGGCAGTTCAGTTAGCACCCGTTGCTGAACGGGCGTCATATGGGTGAAACCCAGGACCTTGAGAGCTTGGAGAAGCTTAGGGTTCAGCTTTCCAGCCATGGTCTCATACAGCACCGTGCCGACGGTAGTTCCAGTATTCTGCATGATGAATGGTTGAGTTTCTATCTTTATAGAAAAACTTGCAACTAATTGCTAGAGGAAAATTTCGACAGTGAAATTATAGTATGACGATTCGGCAAATGGCCGTTTTTACCTGCAAATAGCAAGGTAGTGAAACAGTGAGTGAGTCTGCTCCCTTCTCATCTCCTTCTTCACTTTATATATATGATATATGATGGAGGTGGTTCTGATGGGTAGGTGCGAACCAACTGCCTCGTGGGTCTCTTCGAATCTCGTCGAGATTTGCCTGCCAAGACAATACTTAGTAAGCTGTTGGTGATTGGCTGCTTTGAACCCACCACCCTGAAATGGAGTGCGGGCCGCCCATCTTTATCGGAAAGCGAATAGGAGCTTTCCTTTGCGAAGCTTGTCCATGGCGCTGACGGGCTTGTCGATTTTTATTTACATAGAGAAAAGTGGCTTTTCATTGGTAGATGTGTTGAAGGATCATAAGAGATAAGTGGGACATCCCAAATGTGAAAAATTGCTGGTTGTCTGAAACTGAGACACCCCCTGACGTGTAAAAAGAAGATGCTCTGGGATTGCTGAGGTCGAAAATGTCTGGACTCCTGCTGTTCAAATTATAGCTCATAGAGTCATGGCTCGATCAACCCTGTCGTCTACTCTGAAATGACCGCCACAATATGACAGGAGCTTGCATGCATAACACTTGGCGTTAATGTCACAGACTGCTACAACTAGACCAAAAGAGGTATCTTTCGGATAGTGGCGCGCCTCGATCTGCCGACATACTTCGTAATATACTATTCTCCGAGTACGAAGGATACTACGCTAGATGGCTTGATTGACTCCAGATGACAAGTGCATTGATAGCGAACAACTAATTGTTTCACACATCATACGACTGCTCAGTATCTGCAAGGACCATCGCACTTATTTCCCACATCCACTCAATCCCTGCAAGCACGGTTGGACATCTGCAGCTCACTGAACAGTGATGGAGGAAGATCCGCTGCTCTCATAGCCCTCGGTAGCCACGATCTGGTAGTTGTGAGTACCCAGGTTCATCCCCAACTTAGCCCAAGCGTTGAAGTGGTTGGAAGTGGTAACAGTTCCTCCAACTCTCTTGTTCTGGCGAACGGACCAGTACTGGGTGAAGGTAGCGGTTCCTTGGATAGAAGCGGCGTTGGTGCGGGTAGCCGTGTAGATATCGTAGACGGATCCATCGGAGGTGACGGTGCCCTTGTACGTGCCTCCACTGCCGGGGTTGTAGTCGCCGTAGGACTCGACGATGTAGTACTCGATCAGGGGGTCAGTGGTCCAGCCATAGACGGAGAGGTAGCCGTTGCCGCTAGGGGTGAAGGTGCCGCTGTAGGTGATGTCCCTGAAGTTATGTGAGCATTTGTTTCACTGGATACCCTAGAGGGACGGCTTGAGAGAGGTTAACTTACTGTGCACTTCCAGGGTTCCAGCCCTTTCCACCAACAAAGTTGCCAACGTTGGACCACTCGACGGTGTACGAGCCAGCGTCACCGTTGGTGTAGGTCACATCACCACCGCCGTCGGTCCAGAAGGAATAGTAGAAGCCGTTGTTCTCGCCGGTCGAGCTCGGGGTCGAACGCTCAGAGAGCTTGTGCAAGGCATCTGAACGCTCGACGACAGAGTCGTGGGGAACGGCCAGAACAGCCTTAGCTGCGGCGAAGCAGAGGAGAAGGTTCTTGGTGAGCATGTTGAAAGAGACTTGGCTTGAGGAGTTGATTCAATGGGGCTGGGTGTAAGAAAAGAAGAAGGTCTGCAGCGATGGAGGAGACGTTCCTGATATACCCATGATTCTGCAGAAGCTATTTAGCCTTTATTAAGAAGGGTACCTGCCGAGACCCTGCCGAGGCCCTAAATGTGAGACCCTGCCGTACCTGAAACGTCCGCTGTGATGGGGTTTAGCCTAGTCGGTGGAGCATCCGTGGGCGATTTGGAAAGCCGGATTGATCTCCCGAAACAGCCTAAATCGCCTTCTAGGGTCCTGCAGACATCCTGAAATCATAATGCCTGTTCGGTTTGGCAGTGGAGCTTCAAGGGTCTAGATTTCGGTTGTGAATCTCGATATCCGCCTGTATAGCTTGACTCTATTGCTGTGTTAAAAGCATCTTGGCTCGAATGCTTCATTGTTCATTACGTAAGACCCATTGTTTGGCTCTCATCCAATCAAGGATGGAATATAAAACCATTGATGACACTGTATACTACTTTAACAATGATTATAATCCTACTGGAATCTAGACGGAGACATACTGCCGGTATCTAGTTAGGAAGGAAAATGCTAGCGTGTGCCAAATTAGGGATGTATCTCCTGCTGTTAGTGACTCAGCAGAGTGCCACCGCCGCGTTAAATTTGAGGATAACACAATCACTACTATTTTAGGAAGGTGCCAATTGAGATCCTTCGCATGAAACCTAATTGGAAAGTAGAACGCGAGAGGAAAGACCGTGCAGAACCGGCTTCCCGACGGTCAAAGAAAAAAAGGCTAGACGCCAAAAGATGTTTTGATATTAGCCTGTGGCTCAAGAAGATCCGATTGCTCAGATAGCCGCCCGATACCTTGTAGTATAAGTATCCACTAGGTGGGGCGCCAATAGTTCCATGACAGTGCTCTTTCCATTCTGAGAACTGGTGAGATGGCTCTGCCGTGAAATTACCATACTCTTCCCTTCTGTGGCATTATCTGAGGGTCTACGCGTTTCAATATGATTTAGAATATTTGTCATTGAGCACTGCTAAGTCTGTAGGCAGCTGAGCAAAGCAACATGAAGTGTATCATTGTGATGCAGTAAAATAATAGCAAGGGCCAAAGCCGGCAAAACCTATCACCAGCAAAATGGCTAACAATTGGCTAATAAAACATCAACTTGAAGAAAGTAATATAGCAATCGAAAATTCATTCTTCCCCGAAAAAAGCAATAAAATTCAGCAATAGTCTTTGGTATCGTAATCCGGATAAATGTGATCGAGGCTGCAAACCGAGTTGCCGCCCAGATAGAACGAGGTAACTATGATTCAACCATCAGTATAGGAGCACGACACAATGACAACATCAACATGTAGAAGAACTCACGATCAACAGGCAGAGTACTGCTTGGGTTTTTGATCACGACCTGGCTTTCTTCAGCCGAAGTCAGACTATTCTCGCACTTCAGCTGCTCCGTGCCGTAGGTGGTTGAATTGCCTCCCAACCACACGTCGACATGCCATATATGGCTCTTCCAGTCTTTAGTGCACTGTTCGCAGTAGTCTTCGTTGATCAGATATTTCTGTAGGTAGGGGGAGTAGATGACCTCGCATCTATCGAATTCGCCAGGTGCCGTGGCAAAAGTAAGCGGATTCTCGTGGGTGCCGATGCCGCCAGCCGCCATGCCGCGGCCACAGTCTTCCGAGATGTCTGAACCTGGAGGGTCGTTGTCGGGATATCCATAGAAGGTGTAGGATACTCTGCTGACAACATGGCATTCTCCATCCTGGGACTGGCTTCCTCCCTGTACGGACTGTGTGTCAGTTACATTGACAACTGCAGTTGGCCGCTGAGAGTCCTCCCCTTCAGAAGTAGCACTGGGCTGGTGCGGAACATCACCGGTCGGAGTGGCACTCGTGGTATGAGTGCCAGTTCCATTGTGAGGACCGCCTTCGTTATAAGTGCCTCCATCGGGATCCATAGGAAGGGTGTCATCTCCCTGAGTAGTACTTACTCCGGTGTTATGGCTGACTCCATTGTCGTTGTTGTCGTGCTTAAGCTTTTTAGGGAGCAAGACTGAGAGACAGACAACGGCAACCACTATGGCGACGAGGAAAATGGTTCCGAGAAGGATCCACACCAGCTTTTTGCGTTTGTATTTTGGACCTTTTGTTGGCTGCACATTGTTCGGAGCTGGGAGAGAGCTGGACTTTGGATTGGAAGACATGATTATACGTAGAGACGAAAGATGGAAGTTATTTGTAGTGAATTAAAGAGCGCGTGGGTAGTTTGTAAGGTAGACAGTCTGTGTTGTGGTGGCTTGGAAGGAAACAAAGAGAAAAGGGGCTTAAGAGCTTAGAAGCGCCATGTTGTTGATAGACTCATCGCTACGTCTGCAGGTTGAGTCACAGACCGGGGTCAGCCACGGTTCGGTTCTCAACCATGAGCAAACATCAGGATAACCAACCCATGATGAGCTACATAAACAGTAAGTATGAGCGTGGCTAGACAGCACAGCCTCTGATGACTGCGTAGCCGACAGGACGAAAATGAGAGCGCATCATTGGATCGCCCTGCGAGGCTGTCGGCGTGTTGATTGCCAGTTCTATTCCATGAGGGCCTAGCCCAGAAAAAGTCGGATACTGGCTGTCATCCACTGATCGGAATAAGTCAACATAGATGACGCCAGCACGCAGCTTCAATAGTACGTCGCGGTGATGCAGGATATCGGCCAGGAGGAGCCTAGCACCCTTACGCTGGATCAATCCCTTCTTAAGTACTTCGGCCCCGGATTTATAAACTGACTGCACCTAGATTTCCTGAGCGACGCAGGTGTCAATGCCACACGGGGTATGAACTGTTTTCGTATACCCGTTAACTGGGTGATATTGGCGGCGTAAGGCGCAGCGTCGGCGTGGTGAGCGACATACACCATTCGATCTAATATCGACGAGATAATGTAATAGATAACCCATAACACTCGTAATGCTATTGCTGTAATTAATATAACCAATGAACGTGTGTTTAATTGTAGGCCTGTTCAACTTGATCATTTTGAGAGGAATGATAGATCCCTCAAGAGTCCACGCTAAGAAATCCTGCCGTTTTGGTTACAAACGGCAGGGAAAGGCGAGACTAGGGTTCGTTGTCCGATCGGCTTAACTGTATAAGCCTTTACAAAATATGAGTATCAAATGATCGTAGACGAGATAGAGTGAGCTTCACGATTTATCGTATAATTGATGCTCAGCTCAAGACCCGTTATCATACTAAAGAGTTATTCCGGAACCCGTTTAAGTAGCTTCATATAGAGGAATAAGATTAAGAATCCTTGCCATTTTTATGTAGCAAAAAACAGCAGGAGACGACGAGACTAATTTTCGTTAATAATCAAATACAACTGCATGAGGACTTTGTTAGAGCGTCGAAGACAATGCAGACTGAGAGGAAGTGAGTTTCACACACCTTGTTCGTCGAGATCAATTTCAACCCACGACCC